ATCAGTTGCCATTGGCCTATTCTGGTTTTCTTATTCTTCCTGATTCAGTTTTGGGAGATTGTATTTTTTTAGGAATTCGTCCATTTCATCCACTTTGTCCAGCTTGTTGGCAAATAGTTGTTCATAGTAACTCCTTACAATCCTTTGTATTTCTGTGGTGTCAATGGTTACTTCTCCACTTTTGTTTCTGATTTTATTTATTTGGATCCTCTTTGTTTCTTGATGAGCCTGGCTAATGGTTCATTAATCTTGTTTATCTTTTCAAAGAACCAGCTCTTGGTTTCATTGATATTTTTGTATTGTTTTTTTAGCCTCTGTTGTTTATTTCTGCTCTATTATTTCCTTCCTTCTACTTACTCTGGACTTTTCTTGTTTTTCTGTTTCTAATTCTTTAAGTTGTAGGGCTAAATAGTTTATTAATTTTTCTTGGTTTTTTTTTTTAGGTAGGCCTGTAGTGCTATGAACTTCCCTCTCAGGACTGCTTTAGCTATGTCCCATAGATTTGCGGTTGTTGTGTGTTCATTTTCAGTTGTTTCCAGGAAGTTTTTTTTATTTCTTTCTTAATCTTGTTGGTAACCCATTCATTGTTTAATAACATGCTATTTAGCCTCCATGTGTTTGAATGTTTTTACTGTAGTTGATTTCTAATTTTATTCCACTGTGATCTGAGAAGATGCTTAATATGATTTCAGTCTTCTTGAACTTGTAGATACTTGTTTTGTGTCCTAACATGTGGCCTGTCTTTGAGAATTACCCATGCGCACTTGAGAAGAATGTATATGCTGTAGCTTTGGGGTGAACTGTTTCATAGATGTCAATTAAACCAGTCTGATCCATTGTGTCATTTAGAGTCTCTTGTTTCCTTGTTAATTTTTTGTCTGGAAGATCTATCCAGTGAAGTCAGTGGGGTGTTAAAAGTCTTCTACTATGACTGTATCATTGTTGATCTCTCCCTTAAAGTCCTCTAGAAAATTTTTTTGTATATTTAGGTGCTCCTATATTGGGTGCATATATGTTTGCAGGGTTATATCCTCTTGTTGGATTGATCCCTTTAGTATTATGTAGTGACTTTTATTGTCTCTTGTGATGATCTTCATTTTGAAGTCTGTTTTGTCAGATATGAGTATTGGTACCCCAGCTTTTTTTTTTTTTCATTTCCATTTGCATGGAAAATTTTTTCCATCCCTTTACTCTCATCCTGTGTGAGTCTTTTGTTCTGAGGTGGGTCTTGGTAGACAGCATATAATTGGTTCATGTTTTTGTATCCATTCAGCTATCCTATATCTTTTAATTGGAGCACTTAATAATAACATTTAAGGTTATTGATAGGTATTAATTTATTGCCATTTTAGTTCTTTATGCCTATGTTTCTCTCTATTTCTTCTCATTATAGCAGTCCTATTAGCATTTCTTGCAGTGCTGGTTTGGTTCTGATAAACTCCTTTAGCCTTTTTTTTCTGTGAAGCTCTTTATTTCACCATCTATTTTGAATGATAGCCTTGCTGGATATAGTAATCTTGGTTTCTTGATTTTCATTACCCTGAGTACTTCATGTCATTCCCTTCAGGCCTGTAGAGTTTCTGATGAGAAATGAGTTGACAGCCTTATGGGAGATACTTTGTAGGTAACAAATTTCTTTTCTCTTGCTGCTTTTAAGTTTTTCTCTTTGTCTTTAATTTTGGCATTTTAATTATGATATGTCTGGGTGTGGGCCTGTTTGGGTTCTTTTTGCTTGGGACTCTCTATGCCTCCTGAACTTGTGTGACTTTTTTCTTCACCAGGTTAGGGAACTTTCCTGCCGTTATTTCTTCAAACACATTCTCTGTCCCTTGCTCACTTTCTGCCTCTTCTGGCACACCTATTATGCAAATACTAGAGTCCCGGTGCATGAAATTCATGTTGGGGGGGGGGGGCCCCTCAGCCCGGCCTGCACCCTCTCCAATCCAGAACCCCTTGGGGGATGTCCGACTACTGGTTTAGGCCCGATCCCTGCGGTTTAGGGCCTAAACTGGCAGTCGGACATCCATCTTGCAATCTGGGACTGCTGGCTCCTAACTGCTCACCTGCCTGCCTGCCTAATCACCCCTAACCACCTCTGCCAACCGGCCTGATGCCCCAACTGCTCCCCTGCCGGCCTGATCACCCCCTAACTGCCCTCCCCTGCTGGCCTGATCGCCCCCTAACTGCTCCCCCCTGCTGGCCTGATCACCCTGTAACTGCTACCACCTGCTGGCCTGATCACCACTAACCGCCTCTGCCTTGGCCCCTGCCACCGTGGCTTTGTCCGGAAGGACGTCTGGAAGATGTCTGGTCTAATTAGCATATTACCCTTTTATTAGTATAGATTGTTAAGTTTCATGTTGTACCATAGCTCCCTTAAGTTGTCCTCCTGTTTTTTAAATTGCTTTTTCTTTCTTTTTGATTCTCTGATTGAGTAATTTTTTTCTAACCTATCTTCTAATTCACTGGTCCAATCCTCGGCTTCCCCTAATCTGCTGTGTATTCCTTCCACTGTGTTCTTTATTAGTGCTATGTCATTCTTCATAGTTACTATCTTTTCTCATGCTGTTGAACATCTTTGTCATCATTATTCTGAACTTTATGTCTGATGAATTTCTTATCTCCATTTCATTTAATTCTTCTCCTGGAGAATTATCTTGTGATAATTCAAGGCCCACAGCCAGACACACCTTTCTCAGTTCTGGGAGCCCAGCTTGGAGTTTCATTTGGGGCTTGTTTTTTGTCTCCCCATTTTGGCTACTTGTCTAGGTTTGTTTCTCTGTATTAGGTAGATCTGCTACTACTCCCAGTCTCTAGTGCAGGACAGTGCTAGACACTGTTTGTGATTGGCCCTGAGTACTCTGTTTGGAGCTATCAGCAATCCATAACTTGTGGCTTCCTCTGCTGGGGCTGGGTGTCTTTGGAGAGAACCAAAATGTTTACCAGGATATGCTTTTCCTAGCCCCGGGCCTGGGATTAGATCAGGCAAAGACTCAAAGCCTCCAGGGACTCTTCCTGCTTGCAGTCCCATTGACACTCAAACTTATTAGCCTTAGACTGTTGACCACAGGGTGGGGCAAGAGGTCTCCAACAGGGTAGGGTAACTGCCTTCCCCCCAGGCAAAAACCTCCTGGATAGCAAAGGTCCACAGCTAGAGAAATATGTCCTCAGCAGCGCAAGGAAATGACTCAGGACAGGAAACCGGGGTGGCTCCCCTCTGATCTCCAACCCTAGAGCCCTCAATCCTGGCTTCTGCTCACACTGCTCCAGTCCACTCCACCTTCCCTCTGTTGGAGCCCAAAGTGAGTGGCTACACAGAAAATTTTGTGCATTGGCCCTTTAAGAGGGTGCCTGCATTTCCAGCATTCTCTTGCTGGCAGACAGCAACCCTGCTGCTTTTCACAGACAGATGTTCTGTGGGCACCTTTCTCAGTTCTGGTTCTCTGGGCTGGGGAGCCCAGCTTGGAGTTTAAAATCCCAGAATTCTGCCCTAGCCAGTTTGGCTCAGTGGATAGAGTGTTGGCCTGCAGACTGAAGGGGTCCTGGGTTCTGTTGTGGTCAAGGGCACATGTCGGGTTGAGGGCTCCACCTGTAGTAGGGGGTGTGCAGTAGGCAGCCAATCAATGGTTCTCTCTTATCATTGATGTTTCTATCTCTTGCTCCCTCTCCCTTCCTCTCTGAAATGAATTAATTTAAAAAAAAAGACCCCAGAGTTCGCAGTGGGAACCCCCTCACAGCTCTCAGATATCCCTTCAGAACTTCAGTTGCTCTCTGTGGGAGCCCGGGCAGCCCTTTTGTGCCTCTGCACTTCCTACCAGTCTCTATGAGGTTTCCACTTTCCATCTTTGGTTATCAGGGTTCTCTCCAGCTAGTCTTCAGTTGATTTTTCAGAGTGGTTTTCCTGTATTTTAGTCGTATTTCCAGTTTGGTCCTGGGAGAGAGTCAGTGTAGCTTTCACTTACTCCACCACCATTTTGGAATCCGCATCCTATTATTCTATTATCTCTTCTACTGTGGCTTATGTAAACATTTACATACTGAAATACATTTTTTATTATGAACTATTTTTTTCTCTTGTTATACTTAAGGCATTTTATATAATACTAGAACCCTGGTGCACGAATTCGTGCACCAGTGGGGTCCCTTGGCCTGGCCTGTGGGATTCAGCCGAAACCAGTTCTCTGACATCCCCTGAGGGGTCGGGATTATGAGAGGGCACAGGCCAGGCTGAGGGACCCCACTGGTGCACGACTGGGGCCAGGGAGAGACATGGGAGGTTGGCCAGCTGGAAAGGGACCGTGGGAGGGCTCCAGGGTGTGTCTGGCCTGTCTTGCTCAGTCCCGATTGGCTGGACCCCAGCAGCAAGCTAACCTACCAGTTGGAGCGTCTGCCCCCTGGTGGTCAGTGCAGGTCATAGTGAGTAGTTGAGCGGCCTTAGCATATCATGAACATATTTATTTTTTTTTATTTTTTTAAAAATATATTTTATTGATTTTTTATAGAGAAGAAGGGAGAGGGATAGAGTGCTAGAAACATTGATGAGAGAGAAACATCAATCAGCTGCCTCCTGCACACCCCCTACTGGGGATGCGCCCACAACCGAGGTACATGCCCTTGACTGGAATCGAACCTGGGACCCTTCAGTCCGCAGGCCGACACTCTATCCACTGAGCCAAACCAGTCAGGGCATGAACATATTTATTTTTTTATATATATCATTAACATATTACGCTTTGATTGGTTGAACAGCTGACCAGTCAACTGGACACTTAGCATATTAGGCTTTTATTATATAGGATGTATTTTCAGTTCTATATATTGAAGTAATTATAAATTTTACTTTAAACAACATTTGTTCTAAAAAGAGGAATTAGGTATAACAGGTTGAGAATCACTGATATAGATAAGATAATAATGTAGTATATGAACTAACTCATTACCAGAGTTATTTTTAAACTGAACTTAACAAAGATGACATTTTACTCTTCCGTTTTCCTTAGTGCCGATGAGATCATTGTGAAGATGCACGGCAGCCAGCTGACACAGAGATATCTGGAGAAACATGGATTTGAGGTCCCTATTATGGTCCCCAAGTTAGATGACCTAGGACTCAGGCTCCCTGCAGCTACGTTTTCTGTTATGGATGTGGAACGTCATGTAGGTACGAACTTGATTCCTTTAAGTACTTGTGAATACATGGTAAAAGTAAAAATGATATTGTCCTAACAATATTAAAAATTGAATGAAAAGAGGTTAATTTAGTTCAGTTTCCTGGATCAGGAAAGATGCAATTCAATATCACCTATGTTGAAAACTATTTTTTTCTCAGCAGGTTTACCATTGTGAAAAAAACAGAATGAAACATTTTGCCTATTCTTATTTCCTGAGATCCACCCTGCTGCTTTTTTTGTTGTCATCAAATTTTCTGGTACTTTCTAGGAAAAACTATTACTGAGGAGTAGCTACAGATACTGGGAAAAAGACAGTGGGGAACTGGATTGGATTTAGGCTTTTGTAGCATTCAGGTGCAAGAAGAGATATTTTCAAGCCTGTTTTTATATTTATGACTTGGTGATGTTGCCATTTAATGATGTCTGGACCTAATTTGTTACTTTGAAGCCCAGAAAGGCATAAGAAACAAGGGGAAAATCATTCATCTGTTGACATTTTTAGTTATTTTATTTATTCTCATGGTATTTATAGATAAAGCTGACTACATATAGATCTCATTCCTCATCAGCAATAGATAGGTGTTATTTGAGGATTAGATCTCAAATTTAACTTGACTCAAAACTGCACATCCACTGTAGTACGTTATGTATCTGAGAACTTGTCCTTTTATTGAGACTTCAGTTTGACAGTTCTCAGTGATAACTGTTTCAGAGAGGAGATTCAATTAAATGGCATGACTTCACTTCAGGTTATTTTGAATATTTGATAAATTAGGGGATGAAGCTGAGGTTTAACCTAAATCTGTTTGCCTACTTAGCACTATGAAATAAATATAGTGTAATGTAAGTATAGGGAAAAAATGTTCAAACTATTTGATAGTTAACTTTTTAGTACTGTAAAGCCCTTCATTTAACAGTATAGGGAAAAAATGTTCAAACTATTTGATAGTTAAAGCCCTTCATTTAATAGAATTGTCTTGCCTTTTAAGTATAAAATAAAGTCTACTAGGTATTTAACATATATAAAATTACATTAAAATAAAAAAATGGCATTTATTTGTTTTATAGTTCAGATTGGTTAAGCATTGCTATATTTACAATGTCCTGCAGGACATAGTAATACTGATTGTGTTTCCTAGGGTGGTGATGCAGTGGTGTGCAAGCAACACCTCATGATTTTACAGGAAATTTGTAAAATTTATCCCAATTGAGAACTCATTCCACAGACACTAATATGACTGATTTTTCTTCGTAACTACTAATATTTTCTTGAAGCAGAGTATTAGAAGAGAAGACTACCAGGCAAGCAGAAATTGTTTGTCCTAGTTAACTTGTCCCCCAATGACTGATCAGTTTTTCAAAATGGTAGACTTAGAATGTTAGGTGTTATAGAGGTGAAAGGGAAAAGGCAGTCCCCTCATTTTATACGTGAAGAAATGAAACTCAGAGCATCTGGTAGTTTCTACAGACCAGTCTAATGTATTTTTGTATTATGAGCTGCACACAAGAAATCATTGGCATATGCAAACATACAAGTTTTTACACTCAGTATTACTAGTAATTATGTATCTCTGTCTTAATTACTTTCTTTCCTTCAAAAACCATCCTCCTTTTCAAAAGTTCCAGTTGGACTTAAAAATTAAGGATATAGGAAGACTCTTTGTCTAAGCTATATATTTTTGTTTAGGGCATCTATTAATGTAACTTTTAAGCCTAATAATAAGACTATAATTTTTCTCTGCAGGTGGTGACAAAGTGATAGATGTCATTGATGTGGCAAGGCAGGCAGACAGCAAAATGACACTTCACAATTATGTTAAATACTTCATGAACCCTAACAGACCAAAAGTGTTAAATGTGATCAGCCTTGAATTTTCAGATACAAAGTGAGTAGTTCTGGACATTTTGGGTTAGCCTTCTGAGTGTTAGCTAAATGTAGTTAAATGCTAAATTTATTTAGTAAGAAGATTAATTGCGACTTCTTAAGCGCTCCAGTGATAGCAGCATTGTAAATTTTGCTTTTGCATCCTCAGAGAATATTTAGAAATACAATGGGTTTAAACTTGAAGTATTGTTGTTAACCTTGATTTCCAGTTAATCTCTTGGTTTGGGTTGAGATGGGCGATGACATTTTAAGAAGTTTTAATTTGCGTGATGTGGGTGTGTGTGTGTATGTGTGTTTGTTTTTTAAAGGATGTCTGAATTGGTGGAGGTCCCTGACATAGCCAGAAAACTTTCCTGGGTGGAAAATTATTGGCCAGATGATTCAGTCTTTCCCAAGCCATTTGTTCAGAAATACTGCTTAATGGGAGTTCAAGACAGCTACACAGATTTCCACATCGACTTTGGTGGAACTTCAGTTTGGTACCATGTCCTCTGGGTAAGATTGGGGTATTTCTTTGTTCTCTTATTGATAAAAATATATAGTCCTATTTTTCCAAGGGGTGCATTTATTTGCTGAAAATGACATTTTAAAGAGGGAAGTATTTGTACTTTTTAAGTAGGATCTGTCATTTTACCTTTAAATGTTAGGAATTTTTTTAATCCCAAGTAATAAAGGAGCTATGAGTGCTTAATTTATATTTAGATTCCCTTTTTTGGGCCATTATCTTATAAGTTGGTTTCTAGTAGCCTTTTGTCTCTTCCTCATCAATTATCACTTAATCCCTGTATCAATCCCTGAGGAGCAAAATTACAGTAATAATAATTGCTTCTGACCTTAAAATTAGGCTAAGACAGCTAGTTGGATAAGTCAGGAAGGTCCATGAAATACTAATTCTTCCTGGCAGCTTATATTCACCTTGTTTTATCTGGCACTATACTATTCACAGTAGCTACTAGCCACATGTGGCTAAATTTTAAATAATTAAAATTAAATATAATTGAAAATTCAGCTCCTCACTTGAGGAACTGAATTTTAGTGCAAATGAGGAACTGAATTTTAAATTAGTATTTTACGAATTAGTATTTTATGGCTTTCCTGACTTATCACAGTAGCCACATGTGGCTTATGGCTATTGTATTGGACAGCACAGATATAAAACATTTCCATCATCATAGGACATTCTGTTGGGCAGTGCTGATCTAGAACCAAATCTTTGTCTATATTAAATGCCTGTGCATCAGCAATGCTCTATACTATAGTATATGATATTGTGTCCTTGAGCTCCTATTTCTCTTCTCCATGAGAAAGCCAAGGGTTATAGTTCATTAAAGGAAGTTGATTTGCAGGTCTTTAAAAATAATCATTATATTATAGATCTTAGGAGAAAGGGCAAAATTTTAGAAATGACTCTTTGTAACCTGGGGTCTATTAACGTGTATTTACTTCTATACCTTGAAAATGAGATCAGTAGGATGTTTGTGATTTTTTTTTTACCTTCTTCTCATAACTATTTCTTCAACGCTACTTTATTGACTCCTTGTCATATTTGGAAGGGGGAGCTTTAGCTCTTGTGAAGATGCTTGTTAAGGGCAATAGCTTTTGATCAGGTATGTGAAGTATGTCTTTTTGAGCCTAAAAAATCTAATAATTATCTTATTTAATTTAGGTCATTGTATTGGGAAATTGCATCAAGGTAGGCCATCCTAAGAATGGCTTTTTTCTTTTTAATAACTGTGTGATATTTCCTTTTAGGGTGAGAAGATTTTTTATTTGATAAAGCCAACAGATGAAAATTTGGCACTCTATGAGTCTTGGAGTTCATCTGTGACCCAGAGTGAGGTGTTCTTTGGAGATAAGGTGGATAAATGCTACAAATGTGTGGTAAAGCAGGGACATACCTTATTTGTTCCTACAGGTAAGGTTTCAGTTCCATCCCTGCTGCCCATTGTTGATACTCAGTCACATTAAATCAGCTTTTAATGAGAAACTCTGCTTGAACTGTTTGGAAAGTAGCTTTGCACAACTTTGTGGTGTTTTATGTCATTTTCCATCATTTTGATTTTTGTTCAGATAAAGTTCACAGACTATAATATTCCTCCTTTAAAGTGTACAAGTCAGTGGTTTTTACACTTGATTTTAGCCAAAAGACTGAGAAGCAATCAAGTCGGTGGTTTTTATTAGATTAATAAGGTTGTGCAACCTTACCACCATCTAATTTTAATTTCATCACCTCAAAAGGAAGCCCTATATCAGTTAACAGTCACATCTCCATTCCCCCCGTCTTTAAGCCCCTAGGGTACTTTGAGTCTCTGGATTTGCTTGGTCTGGACATATCATGTATATATGTAGACTATGTGGCCTTTCATATCTAGCTTCTTTTTTTAAAAATATTTTTTTTTGTTGAGTTCAGAGAGCAAGGGAGAGGGAGAGAGCGACAAACATCAATGATGAGAGAATCATCGATCAGCTGCTTCCTGCACGCCCCACACCGGGATTGAGCCCGCAACCTGGGCATGTGCCCCTGACCAGAATCAAATCCAGGACCCTTCAGTCTGCAGGCCAATGCTCTATCCACTGAGCCAAACCAACCAGGGCTGTATCTAGCTTCTTTATTAACATAATGTTTACTGGGCTCATCCTCATTGCAGCACGTATGAGTACTTCATTACTTTAAAAAAATATATGAATTTATTGATTTCAGAAAGGAAAGGAGAGGGAGAGGAAGATAGAAGCATCAATGAGAGAGAATCATTGATTGGCTGCCTCCTTCATTCTCCCCACGGGATTGAGCCCACAACCCAGGCATGCGCCCTGACCATTTTAGTGGGTATGAAGTAGTGGTATCTCACTGTGATTTTGATTTGCATTTCCTTTATGAGTAATGATGCTGAGCATTTTTCTTGTGCTTATTGGCCATTTGAATATCTATTTTGTAAAAATGTTTATTGAAATTTTTTGCCCATTTTTAAGTTGGATTGTCTTTTTATTGTTGAGTTGTAAGTATTCTTTATATACTGTATTCTGTATACTGTACCCTTATCAAACATATAATTTGCAAATATTTTCTCCTATTCTGGTGGGTTGTCTTTTTACTTTCTTGATAATGTCCTTTGCAAAAAATTTAAAAAATTTGATGAAGTTCCCTTTAACTTTAACTGGTCAGCTCTAAAGCCATGGAAGGCCAAGCCAGCAGTGAGACTGGGCTTTTTCCTGGGACAGTTAGGAGTATGTTTTGAGGGACCTGAGGAAGAAATTGAGTACCAGCCTTAGCTGCAGCTCAAGTATCGTTACCAAGCATGTCGTTTTGAGATGTGATGGGACGCAGAGCTCTCCAGGCGAGGGGTTTTAGAATTGTGTTATTCTGACGTGAGTAACCTTAAGGCTATAGAGTTCACAGGGATTTGTTACTAAAGGCCCTGCTTTCTTGCTTTGCTTCCAGTGCATATATATAATAAATAAATTTGTATCAAATAAATGAATTAATAAATGCCTAAAACTATCAGAATTTATGGATCTAGGTAAGTATCAGCATTTCATTTGAATGGGCTAAGCTCCTCCCTTAAATTTTCTTCCCAGTGCTCCCTTTTATAACAGATATTTAGTTGTGCCCTCTTCAAAATCTTGAATTCAAATTTATCAATGCTATAACCTCCTTCACCAGTAATTAAAAATTGATGTAATGACCTAACTAGAATATAAAGAACAGATTAAAAAGCAACTTATAATAAAATACTATTTCAAAATGTGCCTGCCCTGACACGGCAGCCTTAAAAGGCAAAAAAAAAAAAAAAATAGATGCATAAGCCAGCACAACCAATTCAGGTATATGATTGGCAACTCAATTTCTATAACTTTGGTGATGCTGCTGGTCTGACTTAGAGAACCACTGCTGTAGGCATTGCACTTTTCCCCAAGGTAGTTGTCAACTGATAAACTTCCAAACAAACTAAAGTACAATTTCCTTCAAATTACAGAGTAGTTGTATTCCTGGAAAATTATGCCAAAACCATGCAAAAATTACCTTGTTTATATATATATATACTAGGGGCCTAGTGCACAGATTGATGCACCTTGAAAGGAACTGTGGGCCACGAGGCTGCAGTGGGAACAGGGGCAGGTCTCGGCCCATCCTCTGTGCCCCCCACCCAGGCCCTCCGGCCATGGCACCCGGTCCCCTCTCTGCTGGCAGCCCTGCTCCTGCCACCCCTGCCCGATCACCCCTCAGGAGCAGGGGGAGGTGGAGAAGCCCTGAGGGGTGATTGGGGCTGGCAGCCGCTGCTCGCACCCGCTGATGGCCCAGCTTTGAATCTTGTGTCATCTATCTAGAACACTCGCTACTTCTCCTTGTCATAGTTACCTGTCCATACCTACATCAAACTCTTTTCTTTAAAGATTAAGTTCCTGGCTCAATCTAGTACCTCTTACACTATGCTTTTCATTATTTTATACTAGAGACCCAGTGCAAGAATTCGTGCACAGGTGGGGTCTGGCCAGCCCGGCCCCAATTGGGGCGGATTGGGGTTGGGCCTGTCCAGAGGAAGAGATAGCGATAGCGGGAGGTTGGCCAGCAAGCCTGTCCCCATCAGAGTCCAATCAGGGCCGGGCCAGCTGGGAGAAGGAGCTACAGGTGATTGGCCAGCGGGCCCTGCCCCTGATTGGGGTTGGGGGGCTGACTGGGGGCAGGGCAGGCCATGGGGAGAGGCTATGGGTGGTGGGCTGGCCGGCCCCGCCCCTGAATGGGAGGGGCACTGATCAGGGGTCAGTGGCCGGGGGAGGGGCAGTGGGAGGTTGGCTGGCCAGCCCCATCCTCAATTGGTGTGGGGGGGACTGATCAGGGGCAGAGCTGGCTCGGGGTAGGAGGCACGGGCCAACCAGGGTGGTTGGGGCCCATCAGGGGTAGGACAGACCAGGGGTAAGAGCTGTGGGCAGTGGGCTGACTGGCCCCACCCCCAAATGGGGTGGTGGGGGCCCATTGGGGGTGGGGCCGGCTGGGGGAGAGGGGCCACAGGCAGTTGGCCAGCCAGCTCTGCCCCTGATTGGGGTGGTGGGGGCCCATCTGGGGCCAGGCTGGCCAGGGGGCAGGGCTGCAGGAGGTTGGCCAGCTTCCCCCACCCCCACCCCCGCCATTGGGGTGAGGGGGTGATCAGGGGTGGGATCATCCAGGGGGAGGGGTCGCGGGGGGTTTGGCCGGCCACCCCACCCTCAATCGGGGGGGGAGAGGGCAATCAGGGGTGGGGCTGGCTGGGGGAAGGGGCCGTGGGAGGTTGGCCGGCTGGCCCCATCCCCCGATTGGGCCGGTTCGCTGGCTGCAGTGGGCATCATAGCAACTGGTCGTTCAGTCATTCCGGCATTAGCTCGCTGGCTTTTTATATATATATAATGGAGTTGAAGTTTCTAGGCTCAGATAATTCATGTCAGATTTTGTACTAAATGAATGCCCAGCAGAAATTTCTAAGTCCTGAGTAGTGCAGGGCAATTTCTTACTGTGTGGAACTGTCCTGCATTTTGCACCCCTGGCTCCCACTCAAAAATTGACAGTGGTGGCTCCTGATCATTGTGACAATCAAAAGAAGCCCTCAAACTTTTCCAAATGCCCTCTACAGGCAGTATGGCCTTTATGAAAACCACTGATCTATAGGATTTGTAGCTGACAGACTTCTAATTTGTGATTTCAGGGTCAAGCTCAAGGCTTTGTGCCTTTGAGTACACAAAAGGGCACCACTTGAAAGTGAATCTTTGAGGAGTTTTTTGATACTGTGTCACAGCACAGTGAGCGATTAAAAGATGAAAAATGTAAAAAAAATGAGACTTATTTTAACAATTAATTTTTACATGCAAATGTATATATTTATTTATACTTACATGAAGTCCATGTTTAGTCTATGGACATTTCTTTCAAAAGCTAGGTGTCATCTCTCAGAAATGTTTCCCTCTTTGAAAATATTTTTGTAGGAAAATAAGACATCATTTGGATTGCCAACATTTATATTTATGGGACCAAAACCCTCCATAATGAAATGTGGGTAATCTACCTTTTCCTTCTTAGCAGGTATCTGGTTGAGTTCCACTGATCCTCCTCTGCTTAGTCCCCCAGTGCTCATTTCAGATACTAGGGAAGTGAAATGATCAGCCAGTCTCAGTGGTCACTTAATGGAAATATGCTTGTGTCCTTCTAACCAGATTTGACTTGTCTCACAGTAAAATCTTTAATATTAAGTTGGATTGTTTTTCCTTTAAACTAAAACAACAACAACCACAAAAGCCTTTACCTATGTTGTACCATAATTTTTTATCTAATTAGGTCAATGCATTTATTTACTCAAACTCAGCACACAGCTGGTATATAATAAGCCTTCACTAAATATTTGAGTGAATGAATGAATCTATAGCTTTTATAGACATTAACTTTTCTAGCACTGGAGTATGAAGTAAATTGATGTTGATATTTTGAGTTTCTTATCTCACAGGTACATATCACATTTGTTTGCTTTAAATATTGAGAAGTCACTGATTAATATACTTTTAACCATTTCAGGGTGGATTCATGCTGTGCTCACTTCTCAGGATTGTATGGCTTTTGGGGGGAACTTTCTGCACAACCTTAACATTGGCATGCAGCTCAGGTTTGTGTCATCAGTATTTAAAGGATCTTTTGTCCTTTCTTTTAAACAGGATGTTTCAAAAACTAAATTCAACAACATATTTTACCGTAATTGAGATCTCATGGAGATAGGCCCTGAGAAATTATTAAGAACAGGAACTTTTTAAAAATATATATTTTTATTGATTTCGGAGAGGAATGGAGAGGGAGAGAGAGATAAAAATGATCAATGATGAGAGAGAATCATTGTTCGAGCCCGCAATCCGGGCATGTGCCTTTAATCCAGTGGTTCTCAACCTTCCTTATGCCTCGACCTTTTAATACAGTTCCTCATGTTGTGGTGACCCCCAATTTCATTGTTACAAATTGAACATAATTAAAGCATAGTGATTAATCACAAAAACAATATGTAATTATATATGTGTTTTCCGATGGTCTTAGGCGACCCCTGTGAAAGGGTCGTTCGACCCCCACAGGGGTCGCAACCCACAGGTTGAGAACCGCTGCTTTAATCGGAATCGAACCTGGGACCCTTCAGTCAGCAATCCGACACTCTATCTGCTGAGCCAAATCGGCTAGGGCAAGAATAGGAACTTTTAACAAAAGTATTGTCTTAAAAAATTTTGTCAGGAGGATAGCTTGATGCATTTTAAATCTAAAATTAAAAAAATATTTATTCAATTTGAGACTAAATATCTCCCCAACTTTCAAAATTGTATAAAAATGTATGGGTTCTCCTTGGCTGTTTTTACAATGAGGGAGATGAACTAAATCCAGTCAATCTCAGGTGTAATTATGGTGCTGGGGAAAAGCAACCCTAGGTTCAGATGGCTGTCAGAACACCTGTAATGTTACATGGGGAAAGGATTAACAGCTCTTTCCCTTTCTGTGTGAAAAGTTGACATTTAGCTAACTCTGTGCCCCTGGTAGCCTGATGAGAGGAGAATGTTACTAGGCAGCACTGCTTACAGTGAAATAACTCCTGATTGATAAACCACATCAGGACTGGGAGAACCTAGTAGGAACCATGTGTTTGGGCTTTCCTAAGTGTGGTGATCTTGTAGCTTGACTTGCCCGTGGGGACCCTGGATGTTATGTGTCTGTGGAGTTATTACATGAAGCACTGGCCCTTACCAGGCATGAAGCTTTAAGTTAGGACAGCTCCCACACTGCCAGCTGTGAATCTTGTTTCTGTATACCTGAGCTGTCCCCAGAGGAAAGGTCGCTCCTGGCTGTATGGATGGCTGCAAGGACTCCCATAGAAGACGAACACTGTGGCAAGCTGTGGTTCCTATCTCCTCCCCTTGACCGGCACCAAGTGTGGTCTTGAGCTTGAGTGCTTGGTAGAAACTAAAGAAAACCTGAGTGGGTTGTTCAATACATGGAGTTGACCTATAAACATATTGTCTTATTTATTATAGTGGAACCCTTGTGAAATTCCTTCTGTTAAGATTAGGATAAGAATCCCAAGGTCTGATCTTTTTGAAGACCAATGTAATTCTTCAGTATACTGTCAAATTTGTTAAGGTCTGACCTGGATAAGGTCATAATTCAGGCTTATCCAAATGTTGTATTATGTAATATACAGTACTTGTTGTATTATGTAATGTCAGAACCTGCTTATTTTATTTTCCTTAAGTTGGTTGCCTTCATTTAACTTTGAAATGCTAATATAAATATTAAATTTCTTAAATTGTGTTTATTCAGGTGTTATGAGATGGAAAAAAGGCTAAAAACACCAGATCTCTTCAAATTCCCTTTCTTTGAAGCCATATGTTGGTTTGTAGCCAAAAACTTGCTGGAAACCCTGAAAGGTAATTAATAATCTGTCCATCTTGTGGTGTGATATAATACATGCTGTTGTAAATTCACTAAAAGCCAGTGATAGCGACCCTTTTTTAGTATAGTGTTGCTGTTGCTCCTATGTTATTTTTTAAAATGCATGATTTCCCTTGACCAAGAACCTTTTTAACAAAGTAGAGTCTCTAGTCCAGCGGTCGCCAACCTTTCGGACCTCACGGACCACTAGTGGTCCACAGAACACCATTTGGCAACCGCTGCAACCTTAAAAAGCAGATATATGAAGAGCTGCATCAGAACAGGTAATGTTGAGAATATTCATTTCACCTGGGACTCTAGTGGCCTGTACACACTGTCAGGCATGTAAAAGTGTCTCGCCTGCAAGAATGCAGTTTAAGCCAAGACTACTATGTAATACTAGAGGCCAAGTGCATGGATTCATGCACTGGAGGGGCCCCTTGACCTGGCCTGCACCCTCTCACAATCCGGGACCCCTCGGGGGATGTCAGACTGCTGGTTTTGGCCCGATCCCTGCAGGCCAGGCTGAGGGACCCCACCAGTGCATGAATATGTGCACCGGACCTCTAGTATGCATATAAGATCTTTGGTTAATCTCTTCCTGCCCTCCCCCTTCCCTCCTTTCCTCTGAGATTCATCAGTCTGTTCCATGTTTCCATGCCTGTGTGTTGTCTTTCCCCTGGTGGTCATTCTGCATCATAGCTATCGGTTGAACGGTCATCTAGGCGCATATATACACACACACACACACACACACACACACACACTACATATATATATATATATAGATGTGTTCCCAAATATTTGCTTTTAAAACTCCAGGGCATAATTTTCATGTCTTGAGAGAATGAGGTAGTGCCTGTGCCATTACCATTTTATGCCCACTATGCTGGCCAGTATAAGGCACCTGTTAATACAAACCAACTGGATGTCAGGCTGAGTCTAGTGGAAGAAAAATGTTTGGGGTTTTGTTGGGGGAAAGGAGAGGTTGTTAGTTATCCCTTTAAACTTGAAAGCTACCTTTTTTATGTGGAATTTCAGATTTGGTGTTTTATCTTTTGGTTTAAAAATCTTTAAGCAGTCAAATTGGAAATTGCATATCACATTTCCTTTTATCCTTTTTTTTTTTTTTTTTTGCTTTTCATTCAGTTGTGCCCTTGAGAATGCAGTTCATCTGTTTTTGTGTTGTCTAACTTGTCCAGTCCATTTGCAAATAGTGCTACTATTACAATTAACTTCCAGAAGAAACAGATATAAGCAGATTAAACAGTAAAGTCTATTCTACACATATTTCTTTTTCCATGTATAAGTTACATGAGAATAAAAGGTGAACTGAAAAGAAACAACCAGAACTTGCTTCCCAGGATAGCATGCACAGAATTAAATGATAAAATAAAAAAAAATTATTGATTGCAGAGAGGAAGGGTGAGGGAGATAGAAACATTAATGATGAGAGAGAATCATTGACCGGCTGCCTCCTGCACTCCCCACACTGGGGATCGAGCCTGCAACCTGGGTATGTGCCCTGACTGAGAATCAAACCATGACCTCATGGTTCATAGGTCGATGCTCAACCACTGAGCACACCAGCTGGACAAATGATAAAACTTATTTATGGTTTCTTTGCTCAATGAAAGCTCTCACTGTCTTTAGGAGGAAAGAATAATAACCCCATCCCACACCTGCAGCACAGCATACAGGGAGATGTCAGTGGTGCAAATGTCTGTGATGGAGATAGGAGCCCACGGATGAGGAAGAACAGGTGCTCTCTGCACCAGATCAGTCTCTGCTCCACAAACAACTCCTTATCCTGAGTCTCCGCCTTGTCCAGTGTTTTCAGGTGTTTTTGGTGGCTGCAGGAATGTCACAACGAACCGTACGGTTGCCATCTATAGTTTCTAGTAAAATTCTAGACATTAAAGTTCATAGTCTCCTATCCAAGTAGAACCCTAGATATATATACATAAACACTTACAGATGTTCTTGTTTTCTGGAAATAAAACCCAATAACTGAACCCTCCAGATTAGAGATTGGCAATTCAAAACTCAGGAAATTTCAGAGTACTTTTATCACTGTTTCTTTTCTCAACAGCACACACATGCACATGCACACACACACGCCCTTAGGTGATACTTTTCCCCTAATGTCTAAGAGGGGTTTACCAATCAAATTAAGAATTTATCTGAAAGACAAAATCTTGCTGTTCTCGCAGTCATAAGCAGCAGATTGTTTAGTCTGAGAATGGGTTAGCCTTTATTTTAGTCCATTGAGAGTTAAGAACTATTGAGATCTGATTAGAAAACATAATCCTGTACATTAAAGTAAAAAAAAAAAAAGATTACTATAAAAGGATATTTGCAGGTCAGGTTTTAAAGTGTTTTCATTTCATCTGCCAGGTCAGTACAGGATACCTGGCATTACTAGTGTATCTTCAGTCCCACTGAGTATAGAGCCAAAGGACCATTATATCAGTGCCACATCTACGCACTCGTCCTGGAATCAGGAATGGCGGTCTTGTTACCCCATCTTATATTGTCCTTTCATCCCTGACCTTGTAACTTTCCATTGCAGCCTGTTATTTCCAGCTCTTAGATTGTTATAGGCTTATATGATAGGTTAAATGTGGGAGGATTGGGAAACTCTTAACTAAATTTAGTGTCAGTAATAATAAAAGTGACCAGTTTGAGGTTTATGTAAGTAAATTAGCCACAGGGCAGAAGTAGAAATCTTTCACTTTTGCTTCAACTTGCCTGAGTTGTAGACCACATCTAATGTATTTTATATGAATTTTAGATAATCAATTTGGTTTAAAAACCCAGAAGAGTCTGGGTTTGTGGGTGTGGGTGTGTATTTGCAATAGTGAATTATTTCATGCCCATAGTGAGGTGTATGGATCGTACATTGCCTACACATACACTCTCTTACAGTTTAAAGAATTATAAGCATGTCACTCAGGGTGAGCACAAACAGCCTTGCCAGTACCCTAGTCATGCTCCTTATTTTTCTCGTTGCACCCTCTCCTTCCCTTTAAGAGAGAACCTATTATCCTGACCTTTGTGATAATTCTTCCTTTCTGCTTTATCACCTATGTCATAAACTAAAATAGTTTAATTTCTAGACATCTATGAATAGCTTAATACTGACATTTTTTGTGACCTGTTTTTTACTCAATGTTATGTTTGTGAGCTTTCTTTTAACTTGAGCATTTAGTACAATGACACTTAATGTAATTCTGTTTTTGTTTTTTTGCTTTTTCAATCAGTTGTTTATTAACCTTTTCCCTTTCTGTTAATTTGGAAGTTATGCAGTTTGATATTTGGTGGTTACTCAAAATGTAAAGTTGATTCATTTATCTTTGAAACACTTAACTCCTTTCCCTGCCTCTTCCATCCCCACAGAACTGAAAGAAGATGGTTTCCAGCCTCAGACTTACCTAGTCCAGGGCGTGAAAGCACTGCATACTGCTTTAAAATTGTGGATGAAAAAAGAAGTAAGTCGTTTTCTTTGGTGAAATAATTGTTATTTTTTATATGGTAAGTTCAGGAAAATGGAGTCCTCAAGCTGTGTGGCAGGAGTAGCCACAGTAGAAGGACTAGAAACCATGCTTTATATACAACCTTCATTTTATGTACAGCAATACAAATGGTTTATGTTTCTGTGAGAATTAAGTACCTCAGTATTTCTTAAAGCTGGAAAGGAAATAATTCAAGTATACTTAGGGTACTGACTAAGAAATGAACATGTAAATGTAGACTAATAATAAGTAACTGAGCTCTCATAGTGTGCCAACCACTGTGCTTAGTTTTCATATCCATAAACTAATTTAATCTTCAAAGCAACCATATGAAGTCTGGGTGCTGTTATAATCCCCATTTACATGTGGGGAAGCTGAGGTTCAAGGAATTTAAGTAACTTGCCCAAGAGACCCGGCAGAGCTAGGATTTAAATCTAGGTCCCTGCAATTGCAAAGCTGATGCCCTTATCCCTCTGCTAGACTTAGGAAAAAAGGAAAGAAAGGAAGGCAGAGTTCAAGCCGGAGCTTTCCATTTTCACTAAAATGTGGTCTAGTTGTTGGCATTTGAATTCCTTCTCTAAGAGGTGGTCCCAGATCTCCTTTTGGAGTTGGTATGTCCTTCCCTTACGCTTCCATTGCACATTTCTTGCGCCAGTGGACTAGGATTATTTCAGTGCCTGTGTTGCCCCTTATAAGTCCTTATGTATTATGAATTAATTGTTAGTTTTAATTAGTTACTTTACTAATTATAGTAGTCTTTTGAGGTCTAGAGTACAAGGTTACTACTCAATATAAAGCAAAATTTACTATGAGACCAGTCCATCTTTATCTCAAGCTAAGAGGATTTTATAAGTTAATAAAGATCTCCTTAGAAGATCTTTTAATAAAGATACCTTAGGAGGTATCACACCAACCACATGAACTCTGAGTCCTGGCTTATTAGTATTTGGCTGTGTCTATAAAATCTGGAGAACCCCAAAATTGGCTTAATAAGTTTTTTACATATTAAAGTATAAGTAACTTTGGTTGTTTTGTTAATCCAAATACAGCTTGTATCCGAACATGCCTTTGAAATTCCAGACAATGTTAGACCTGGACATCTTATTAAAGAACTTTCTAAAGTAATTCGAGCAATAGAGGTAAGAGTACAAACTGGCATCTAAACTCTTGGTTATTATCTGCTTTGAGAAACCAGTAGATCTACCACCACACTGCAAACCTCTGAATGCTCTTATGCACTTAAAAAAAAAAAAAAAAAAAGACAGTGAGCTAAGTCTTAGAAACAGTTTCTAGTTCCCAGGTTTCTAAAGTCCTAGAGAGAAATTTAGAGAGTTGTATCATGATGAAGTAATAAGGAAGTTATTTCAGGTTACTCCAAAAATAAAAAATACAGAATTAAACTTTCTAATCCAGTTCATTTTAGCTGTGCAGAGATGAATTCATGTTTAGTGATTAGGAAAAGAGGAAATGTAAGGTGAGTGAGTAGAGCTAGGTGAAGCTGGGTTGGAAAGAGGAAGATATTAGTGGGGTGGGGCAAGGAGAGCTGCTTGATTGGAAATATTAGAACAAGTTGGTTAAGCAAATGCCCTTTGATAAAAGCCCACAGAATATGAGATTAGGTGTTTTAATTAATCATTTAGGAGCTATTTTAGGTATTAAAGAAAGGAGGTTTTAATTAAACTAATTTAAGAAGATGGTTCTATTAATGTTTAGCTTGAACTGAAAGGAAATTAAGTGGAGGAATGGAGGCTAACTCAATTTAACAGCTCAGATTAGGTCTGTGTTTGGGGAATGGAAAGGGGTACAGCTAAGAAATATTAAAAGGATTTGCTATCCTTGACTAGAAGAGTTCATGTAATTCTCAATATATTCAGATACAGTAGAAAAAAAATTTTAAATATATTTTTATTGATTTCAGAGAGAAGGGGAGAGGGAGAGAGAAATAGAAACATCAGTGATGAGAGAGAATCATTGATCCGCTCCCTCCTGCACACCCCTACTGGGGATCGAGGCCACAACCCAGGCATGTGCCCTGGACCGGAATCAAATCCAGGACCCTTCAGTCTGCAGGCTGATGCTCTGTCCACTGAGTCGCACCAGTTAGGGCGAAAATTTTTTTTTTTAATTTTAAAGATGATAGTAATTGCATACAGATTTTTAATCAAAAGTCACATATATATGCAAATATATATCTGTATAAATCTCAACAACCCAAAGTAAGGACAGTGTTGGTCTATATGAAAAACTATAAATCTTTACTTTGGGAAGTAAAAATACTTGAATGAAATTTCAGAGATATGAAATTTCTGAAATATGTCAACTTCAAATTAATATTATAAATTTTAAATGGTGAAATATACCTGAAAGAATAATTGGACAAAAATAGTAAACATAGTGTGTTTTTTTTTTAATTGAAGTGTAGGGAGTACAGAAGACAGCAAGATGGCCAGTAGAAAATGTGCCAAGAAAATATATAGGTATTTCACTAAAGAAGAAAAAAGAATGGCCATTCCAATAAAAGTATGAAAAATAATCTCAATATATGAAAAAGTATTTAATCACATTTTGCCAAATAACTTACGATTTCATATGATCATTTATCAAGTTGGCAAAAATAAAATCCCATTGTCTATCCTTGATAGTAGGAGTACAGATTAGTTTATGCTTTCTAAATGGCATGTCCCTAGAAAGGGAATGGACTGACTATTCTTGGGGGGGAAAGGGGTGTGGGAGATGCGGGAAGAGACTGGACAAAAATCGTGGGGGAGTTATGGGGGGGGGGGAAAGAGGAACAAATGTAATAATCTGAACAATAAAGATTTAATTAAAAAAATAAATAAATGGCATGTCCCTTCACCTAGCAGTTTCACTTTAATAAAATAAATAAGAGGATTCCAGTTGAACTTGGAAGATTAAACATATGTGCTTACCACTATTACTGCTTGGGACCAAAATGATAGAAAAAGAATAAAAAAAGACATCTCTAAGGACAGAGAGAATAATAGAGATGAAGATTCCAACGAAATTTTGGAAGCTGGAAAGAAATGTACAAGTGGTGACTTATTTAGCAGACCAGAGACCTGAAACCTTTGTGGGAAATGGGGGAAGACCAGGAACAGGTCTTATTTATACAGAATCTTAAAAAAATATTCCAGAGTTTTTTGAAGGACCCTCAATATGAGAGTGGAGGTAGGATTGAACAGGATTGATTAAAGGTCTATTTAAGAAATGAATTGCTCTCCAAATCCCTGCCTTAACACACGTAGAAAACTAAAGGTGTAATTGTTTGAGAAGTTGAATTTGAGATTGTGGACTTTCTATTGATTTTAGAAAGAGTGTAAGGGAGGGGGAGAGAGAGAAAGAAACGTCAATGTGAGAGAAATGCATCAATTGGTTGCCTCGTGCAAGGACCAGGGCTGAGGATTGAACCTGCAACCGAGGTATGCACCCTTGACCAGACTTGAACCTGGGACCCTTCAGTCCTTGGGCCGACGGTCTATCCACTGAGCCAAATCGGCTAAGGCAGCGGTTCTCAACCTGTGGGTCATGACCCCTTTGGCAGTCGAACAACCCTTTCACAGGGGTCGCCTAAGACCATCCTGCATATCAGATATTTACATTACGATTCATAACAGCAACATTACAGTTATGAAGTAGCAACGAAAATAATTTTATGGTTGGGTCACAACATGAGGAACTGTATTTAAAGGGCCAGAAGTTTGAGAACCACTGGGCTAAGGCAAGCTTGTGGACTTTGGAACACTGAGCCCAGTGAGGGAGATAGGTATCTTACTGAAAACGAGGATTAAGTGATAGTCTGCATAGTGAATGCTTCTTCTTCCACTTGGCTTCTAAAAGACTGTCAGTCTGGCCTGGACCTCTCAGGACAAGAAGTAGATCCACTGATACTGAACATCGGTGAAACCCACCAGTTGACAAAGCCCCACTCACAGAGTTCCCTATTAGCTTTTTATTACATACAGTGAAATGTACAATTGTAAGAAAACTTGAGTTTTGACAAATGTGTACACCTGTATAACCAATACTCCAGTATAACCAATGAGATATAAATCATTTATATCATCCCAGAAAGTCCATTCTTGCTTGCCCCCTTCTAGTCAATCTTTGACTACCACAGGCCACCACTGTTCTGACCTGTTATTATCATCATAGATTAGTTTTGCCTATACTTGAATTTCAGGTAAACACATTCATATAGTTTGTACTATTTTGGTGTCTGGCTTCTTTCACTCACATTATGCTTTTGAGATTCATTCATGTTGTTGTGTTTGTCAGTTCTTTTTTATTGCTGAGTGGTATGGTATGCCATTGATTAATATGCCACAATTTGTCTTCCATTCTTCTGTTGATGGCTATTTGGGTTATATGCAGACTTGGCCATTATGAATGAGACTGTTATGAACATTCTTATATCTCTTTTGGGTTAAATATATGTTTTATATTCTTGAATAAATACCTGAGAATAGAGTTGAGCCATAGGAAGTGAATTTAAAATTTGTGAGAATCTGCCAGTTTTCCAGAGTGGTTATACCATTTTACATTCTCACCAGTAATGTGCAGGCATTGTAGTTATTTCGTATTTTCACCAATATTTGTTGTTTTCAGCCTTTTAAATTTTTGCTATTCTAGAGAATATGGAATATTATTTCAGTGTGGTGTTAATTTGCATTTTCCTGAAGATTAAAGATGAATACCTTTTTGTGTGCACATCATTTTTGTATACTTTTAGGAAGTTTAAGTTTTTGTCCATTTAAAAATTATTGTTTTATTATTGATTTGTAGGAGTTCATTATATGTTCTGGACACAAATTCTTTGTCATTTGGCATGCAATCATTCATATCTATATAAAATAACTAACATTTACCTACAGCTTGTATCTTTTCATGAGCAGAAACTTTTAATTTTGAAAGTTTAGTCTATCAACTCTTTTTGTTTTTTAGTGTTATTTTGTGACCTCCCTAAGAAATATTTTTCCACCCCAAGGTCTTAAAAATACTTTCTTTTTTTTTTCCCCAAAAAGCTTTTGCATCTAGGTAAATGGCCAGCCTTGAATTTTTGTGTATTGCATAAGATAAATAAAGACATTTCCCCCCATATCTTTATCTCGTTTTCTTAGCACCATTAGTTGAAATCATTAGCTTTTTAATGTTTCCTTTTAAAAATACATGGAAAGCCCATAAGAGTTTCAAAGACAAAGACCAAAAATAAATCAGAAAAAGGAAAAGTATTCAAAGGAGACAATCATTAAATAAGTCTTCAGCTCAAACCCAAGTATAATTGATACCCTCAGGAGAGAAAAAAGTAAAATTGGTTCTATGAAAAAAGGACAGGAGGGTGCAACAAAGGAGCATTCAAAGAAGAAGGAAAAGGAGTTCTTGGAAATTAGAAATTAATAGAAACAAAACTTAGTAGAATGGCTGGAAGATAAAGTTGGGAAAATCTCCCATAAAGTTAAAAAGAAACACACAGAAATAGGACAGAAAAATTAGAAGGTCATTTTATACAGTCGTCATCAAAATAATAGGAGCTCCAGAAAAAGATAACAGAGAAAACCAGAAGATTTTCAGAGGACTAATCAAATAAGTTTTAGAATTCAAGGACACATCTTCCCAAATTGATAGCCTTCCAAAATGCCAGTACAGTAAGTGAAAAAGACATCAGCCAAGGCACATTATGGTCAAATTTAGAGCATATGTAATAAAGTTCATCTGAAAAAGCATTAGGGAAGATAATATGGGTCGTTTACAAAGAATTGGGAATCAGAATAACATAAAATTTCTCAACAATAACACTGCAAACTAGAAGACAGTGGAGCAAAGTCCTTAAAATCCTGGGGTTGGGGAATGCCAGCATACATGTCTGTATTCAGCCAAGCCATAAACCAAATATGATGGTAAAATAAAGATGTCAAAGAGGCAATTCTCAAACAATGTACTGCCCATGTGCTCTTCTAAGAAAGAAGGAGTAAACCAAAAAGGAAGGTTCCCTGGAATTCATTCTTCCAACAAATACTGAGTACCTATTGCAGCTTTGTACCAGGTAGGCTAGGCATAGAGCAGTGAACAAAGGTCCTGGCAATGGAGCTTAGAAGTAAGAGGCTACCCATAGATTTTGTTATATCAGGAATTGGCAAGGTGCTATTAAGAAAAATAAAGTAGGGAGGTCAGAGGTGGTGGTGGTGGTGGCAGTGTTATATGGTGGAGTGGGAGCAGGTCAGGAAGGGTTTGTGATGATATGTGCAGGTGCAGAGAGCAGCCGGTCCAGGATGGATCAGGAGAATGAAATCCAAACTTAACTAGATGCCTCATACTTTATCTGGCAATCCCATCCAGGAGGATGTCTCCAAAGAAAAATATAAATTTGATTAATTACCTAATGTGTTTGAATGTTTGTATTCTTCCAGTGGAGAATTTTGGGATTAATTAGTGATAAGTACATACTAGAAAACAAGCTGATGGAAAGGGAGGCAGTTATGAACTCAGGGAAAAATCAAAGGATAAAAAGGAAAGTAATGTTATGTAACACTGGGTTGTAAATAATTTTTATTGAGTCCAATTTAAATATTGAATATTGAAGGCAGGGGAAGTATGTGTACATTTAGGAGAGGATGCCAGAATTAAGACTTACTTCATCTTGCATAGTAGGAATTCAGTGATACAGCTACAGGTAAAAAAACAAGAAATAACAGTATAAATGTTACTTAGAAATTCGGAGGCAAATAACTGAAAGAAAAAAACCAAACAACAAAAACAGCTGCAGGAGTTGCAAGTGCTGGATATATACCCGAAAAAATAGAAAGCAGGGACTCAAGCTGATATATGTATATGCATGTTCATAACAGCATTATTCACAGCAATCAAAGATTATGTCATGGGAGAATGGATAACCAAAATGTGGTATATACATGCAATGGAATATTAGCTTTATAAAAGAAGGGAATTCTGACACATGCTACAACATGGATGAACTTGAAGACATTATGTTAAGTGAAATAAGACAGTCATAAAGGGACAAATATTGTATGATTGCATTTATATGAGGTTCCTAAAGCAGTCAAATTCATAGAAACAGAGAGTAGAATGATGGTTGTTAGGGCTAGGAGTAAGGTGGAATGGGGCATTATTGTTTAATGGGTACAGAGTTTAAGTTTGGGAAAATTTAAAAGTTCTGGAAATAGATGCTGGTGATAGTTGGACAACAATGCGAAATGTACTTAATGCCACCGAACTCTGTACATAAAAATGGTTAGAATGGTAAATTATATATCTGTTACCACATTTGTTACATGTATATGTATAATTCCCATTCCCTCCAGAGAATGGGAATTGGCATGGGGAAGAGTAGATTGCAACTTTTCATGATATGCTTATAGAATTTTAATTTTTCAAAACTATGTAGATGTGTGACTTTGCTTTAAAAAGCAGTTATTGATTTTTGCAACTATGTATGTGAAAAAATTTACATTGGGCCCTAGCTGATTTGGTTTAGTGGATAGAGCGTCAACCTGTGGACTGAAGGATCCCAGGTTCGATTCAGGTCAAGGACATATGCCCAGGTTGCAGGCTCAATCCCCAGTAGGGGACGTTCTGAAATCAATAAAAAAATATATTTTTTAAAAATAATATTTTTAAAAAATGTACATTAGAAGCAGCCTGACTAACTCCTGGTAATTTTTAGGTCAGTAAATCATACTATAGGTATACACCAAAGTACTACACAGCCTTTAAAATTATATTGAAAATCAAGGAAATATGTTTATAGTATATAATTTCGTGGGGGAGAAAAGGAAATAAAGGTCTCAGCAAAGCTGTTTATCTTATTATTTGGTCTTTTTTATATAATTAAATTGAATGGTTTTTCTTTTCTAAAATATTTCTGTGGCTGATTACTTAGGTATGTATGTAGCCTTATTATAAAAATACTCTGAATTGAATTCTTAAAGGAGGAAAACAGCAAGCCAGTTAAATCTCAGGGAATTCCTACAGAGTGTCCAGCTTCACGATCCTCAAATGAAGCAACTTCCCCATACCATTCCCGACGAAGGATGAGGAAACTTCGAGATCATAATGTCCGAACACCTTCTAACCTAGACATCCTAGAGCTCCACACAAGGGAGGTCCTCAGAAGATTAGAGATGTGTCCTTGGGAAGAGGCAAGTATTATGTTTCATGATGACAAAGAGAGACTTCGTTGTTCCTTAAAGTTCTTCAAACAGATACTCAAAGGACAATAGTCTGACCAGTCTTGTTATCTAATCTTCCGTTAGCATTGTGTAGGGGTCAACAGTGCTTATGCCTGTAGAAGGGGGCGGTGCTTCAACTTTCTGGGCATCAGTGCAGAAGTAGGATGACTAGATCTCATTCATTTACTGACATGTTTATTGAGCGTTTACCAAGGCCATGCTCTTACAGGCTCTAGAGAAGATGCCAGAGTGAGCACAACTTAAGTCCCTGCCTTTGTGTAGCTTCCATCCTAGCTCAGGTTGGAAGGATGGGAGACAGATATCTATATCATAAAAGGCCTGTGGTCATGACACTGTTACGACGTCACAACCACAACCGGTCACCAGGGAGGAGTCAGTCTGGGTCCTGCCGGCGCTGCGGGTCTGGGTCTTGCGCAATATCGCGTGCTGGGCCTCTAGTGTTAATACAATTTCAAATAATCATTATGAAGGAAGCCAAAATAATAGAGCAATAGAGTAAAGGGGCTTGGGATGGCTGGCTACTTGAGCTAGGGTGGTCAGAGAGCTCTCAGGTGGTGACATCTGAACTGACACTTAAATAATGGGAAAAAGTTAGATGGATACACAGATCTGAGGAGAAGTAGTATTGCTGGCAGAGGGAAAAGCAAGTGCAAAAAGTCTATCCCTCACCCAATAGCATCAGCATGAGTGACTGTTAGAATAAACCCATTAACGTTTGAGAAATGCTTGCCTAATGGACAAGGGGGCAGGCAGTAATCTGATCAATGTAGGGCCTTGTGAAACTTGGTAATGAGTTTGCAACGAGATCTGTATCATACATAATTTTACATCTTAAATAGAGGATAGGCAACAATTTAAAATGAACAAAACAGAGGTATCTCTGAATTAAAATATTTTAAAACTTAATATAGAAATTTTAACTTCAATATTTTAAATGGTATAGAATTTTTTTTTATACTTTTTAAAGATTTTGTTGTCCTAAACCTCCTTAACCCATAGCCATCTGGGAGAAGATTTAGCATGTTATGAAAGGTTCTATTTATTATTAAAGAAACATTTTCCACAGAAAGGAAATATTCTGTATGTATTAAAACCAGTTATTGTATGCCTTTATGTCACATGGTGGCCTTTGTTCCTAGTGATAGCAATGTGGTGACCTGTAAGCTTCTGCCAGTGCCTGGTGGGAAGACTAGGGAGTAGGTCAAAGGTAGGGTAATCGGGAAGGACCAGCAGCTGGCACTTAAACAAGTCAGGGAAGGAGAATCACTATGCACTAGAGCAGTGCTCCCCAGCTCTCCAGCTTTCTGCAAGAGTGAAATGTCTTTGAATTCGCTTTACGCAAGTTTTACATTCTACTTTATTGTGTGTTATTGTTAAAGGCCCTACAGAAAGACAAACCACATTCCTGCTTAGGCTTTAGGAACCATTTGGTTTTAGTGGCACACTGCTGCCTGTCTCCTGGCCTGGGTGGCTGCCTAGTCCAGTTTGGGATGCAGAGCTAAGGGAGGAGGTGGTGGCTTGACTTTATTCATTTAGTCCAGTGGGTGTAGTTGAGTATGGAGATTAAGTAAGTTCTATTTTTATATTTTAGGACATCTTGAGCTCTAAACTGAATGGTAAATTCAACAAACATCTCCAGCCATCTTCTACCGTACCCGAATGGAGAGCAAAAGATAATGATCTACGATTACTGCTGACAAATGGAAGGATAATTAAGTATGTAAACCAGATCAAAGTATCCAACCGATTAGCTTTCAGGGGGTTCCCTCTGTTTACTGAATCCCCAGTCCATTTGTTGTTCAGCTAACCACATATGGGGCAAGTGGCTCAATTCTCCACTCTCTCTGTAAATTAAAGTGGGGAGTGTACTGTTTGGTCGCACAAGTTGCACTATTTTTTGACTTATTTTTCCTTCTATATACAGAGACGAAAGACACCCCTTCGCAGATCAGAGTCTTTATACAGTAGACAGTGAAAATGAAGAGGATAAGAGAAGGACAAAAAAGGCAAAAGTGAAGATAGAAGAGAGTTCAGGAATAGAGGCAGTGGAGAATGAAGAATCTCAGAAACCCCTTAACAGTATGTCTGTTTTAATGGTCATTGTAAAGGTCTCTTTATTACTAATGTGATAGCATGTGAAGTAACTTGCAAGTTCTTACATTTGTACTCTTTTGAGAAATCTGAAGTATTTCTGAATAATGTATCCATTGGGGAAATACTGAATGTGAATGCCCAGAGAGGTGTAGAGCCCAGGGAAGGCATTATTAATGATGAGGACATGTGCAAGTTAGTGACATGCTTGTCTGATGACAGTTTTTACAAGCGTCACACGAAAGCTCATGCTCTACTCCAAATAAAACAGTCCCAAGTTTAATGGGATTTCACAAATAATTTTAGCTAACATGTATATGGTTTTCAGAAGCAGGAGACATATATAATTGGCTGACCTAAAACTATTAGTAATCCATGTATTGTTTTTCTTGGCTGCCTGTTGACAAGAGGGCCTCTACTTGGCTGTTAATTGCTTATCATTAGTGTGACAAACAGTAATACCTCTTCCTCCTCAATTTTAAGGAGCAGTTAAATATTTTGGTATTTGACAAGTAAGTGTTCCAGATAATTCACATTATTTAATCCAAAGTTACCTTAATTCCTGCTAATTTCAGGTAAATGTGATATTGCTGTAGTTGGTAACTGCATTTGTTCACATGATGGGGAAGGTGGTTAATCAGTAGAATTCATCAAGCGGTAGTTATGAAGTAGTGCCCCATGGAAGAGAAAGGCAGTGCTAAGGCCCAGTCTATAAGCTTGTTGAATTCACTACCTACTTGAATGCTTTTGTTATCTGTTGAGAGAAATAATGCAAAAGGGAAATTGAAAAGTTTCTTGTAGCCGTAACCGGTTTGGCTCAGTGGATAGAGCATCGGCCTTCGGACTGAAGGGTCCCAGGTTCGATTCCGGTCGGGGGCATGTACCTGGGTTGCGGGCACATCTCCAGTGCAGAGTGTGCAGGAGGCAGCTGGTCGGTGTGTCTCTCTCATCAATGTTTCTGACTCTCTAGCTCTCTCCTTTCCTCTCTGTAAAAAATCAATAAAATATATTTAAAAAAAAAAAAAAAAGAAAAGTTTCTTGTAGCTCATGTTAGTGTTGGAGGCTTTTTTCTGGAAAGAAATATTTTTAAAATTTTCAAATAAGGAGTGTATAATTATGTTTAATAAAGTCTAGAAATGTTTGTAGAATACACTTCAATTTGCATCTTGGTCAGTTGGGGAGAAAGTTCTTGGAGGAAGAATGAATGAAAAGAAAGGAGTATAGAACAGGAGTGACATAGACACGAAGCTGGATGGACTTTCAATATCACCCTGTTCATGACCTTCTCTTTGACTCTTACTTCTCAGGGTTTTTTACAAGTGTGAAGTCAGAACTCAGGAATCGATCATCAGAATATTCTGACATTTCTGATTCGGAAGACTCTGGACCTGATTGCACTGCTTTGGTATGCCCAAAGGCCCGTGCTGGGTGCCATTGGGTGGAAAAATGAACACCCACTTTCCTTCCCCGTCTCTCTGACCTTTGTAGCACAGGGTCTTTCCCTGTAATAATCTCTCTCTCTCTCACACGCGAGCACACATGACGCGCACACGCGCACACACACACACACACACACACATGCGTGACTGTTTACATTTGCTAAATGTAGCTTTATCTGATTTTGGAAATGGTGGAGGGAGATACTGTTCTTACATTTCTCATATATCTCCTAGGTTTTATATTTCATTTTACCTTAAAGAAAACATGTACTGTGTGTTTTTTACTACGGAATTATGTTACTATAGTTATGGAGATTTTCACTTTTTCGTATGAAATACAGAAATAATTTCATGATAATTAAGATTCTAACTTTCCCTAGACAGATAAAGTATTTTTTGTTAGTTTGTACAGTCTTGGTCAGATTTCTTATATAGCTTTTCTTTCATTTAATTATTTATTATCTCAGAAAAATAATTTTACCACTGAAGAGTCTGAAAGTTCAGGTGATGAAAAAAAACAAAAGATAACATCAAACTTTAAGGAGGAATCTAATGTGATGAGGAACTTTCTTCAAAAGAGCCAGAAAACATCTAGAAGTGAAATTCCAGTTAAAAGGTAGGTTTGCTGATGGTAGTATTTTCATGACATTCCTATATAATAAAAGCCTAATATGCTAAGTGTCCGGTCGTCTGGTCATCCATTCAACCAATCAAAACGTGATATGCTAATGATATGCTAAGACCGCTCAACCACTAGCTATGACGTGCACTGACCACCAGGGGTCAGACAGTTGACCAGTCATATGATGTGCACTGACCACCAGGAGGCAGATGCTCTGGCCAGTAGGTTAGCTTGCTGCTGGGCCGATCGGGACTGAGTGAGACAGGCCGGACATGCCCTGGAGCCCTCCCCACAGTCCCTCCCTGGCTGGCCAACCTCCCACATCTCTCCCTGGCCCCAATTGTGCACAGATGGGGTCCCTCGGCCTGGCCTGTGCCCTCTTGCAATCCGGGACACCTCAGGGGATGTCGGAGAGCCAGTTTTGGCCCGATTCTGCAGGCAAGGCCAAGGGACCCCACTGGTGCACGAATTCGTGCACCGGGCCTCTAGTGCAGGGGTGGGCAATCTTTTTGACTCGAGGGCCACAATGGGTTCTTAAACTGGACCGGAGGGCCGGAACAAAAGCATGGATGGAGTGTTTGTGTGAACTAATATAAATTCAAAGTAAACATCATTACATAAAAGGGTACGGTCTTTTTTTTTTAGTTTTATTCATTTCAAACAGGCTGGATCCGGCCCGCGGGCCGTAGTTTGCCCACGGCTGCTCTAATGTGATATAAAGACATGAAAACATTTCTTTTAGTTTTAAAATTTACCAAAATGCCATTAGACTAAATAGGCTCTTGTATTTTTGGTTATCTGCTTTTTAGGGAATGTCCTACCTCGACGAGCACAGAGGAAGAAGCGATTCAGGGCATGCTCTCTATGGCAGGGTTGCACTATTCCACATGTTTACAAAGGCAGATACAAAGCACAGGCTGCAGCAGTGAAAGAAACTCTCTCCAGGATCCCAGCAGCTGTCACAGCAGTAACCACGAGGTTAGGCAGCTGTACCGCTATGATAAACCAGTGGAATGTGGTAAGAAACATAAAAGTAACTCATGACCCCCAATGTAATAGCTCTATAATCCCAGTTGAAGTTAGAGATTATGAATAACTGTTTATTGCACATTTTTAGTTGGAAATGGTATTAAGCATATTGGCCAAAATATACGTAATGTTGACAATTTATATAAGGTGCAAGTATAATAATTCAAAATGTAAATTAACTGGGATTGAGAGTCATGTTCACCAGCATAATTTTATCATTGCTATTAAACCATAGTGTTATTTCCCTTTTATAAGTTGATTACAGTGGAAGGAATATTTGGTGCTTTATTATTATTATTATTATTTGTTAATCCTCACCCAAGGATATTTTCTCCATTGATTTTTAGAGGGGAGGTGGGATGCAGGGAGAAAGAGAGAGAGAAACATCAATGTGAGAGAGACTGATTGATTGGTTGCCTCCCGAATGTGTCCTGACTGGGGCCGAGGATTGAACCTGCAACCCAGATATGTGCCCTTGACCAGGAAGTGAACCCACAGCCCTTCAGTGTGTGGGCTGATGCTCGAACCACTTAGCAATACCAGCCAGGGCCTTTAAATGGTCTGCTAAGCTTGAACAATCACCCTTATTTTCTTTTGTAGGAGGGAAAATAAGTTTTGAACTTTCTGATTAGGGACATTCTCTCTTCAGCTTTAAAGGAAGAATTAGGAAAGAGGAAACTCAGTAGTAACATCAGTGATGCCACAGAATGTTTTCTTCTCTGTGCCTTTAAGGGAAATTTTGTTTCCCTAAAAGTGTGAGGAGGACTGGGGAGAAGCTGGTATTATGTTGAAACCAAATGCCTATTATAGCATTTGTGTTTGTTCTCACGGAATTAAATGTCATCTATGTACCAGGAGTTTGACATTATTCCACTTAATTCTTGAAACAACATTTTGTTGTAGGTAATATAACTTTACAGGTAAAGGAAATAGACTTAGTGAAGTTAATTTAACTTCCCCATACTTATATAATTAGTTTTCATTGGTGTTGGAATTTGAACCAGGACTGTCTGATCCCTTTGCTTATTATCTAAGAGAAAACTGAAGTTTAGAGAGATTAAATAATTTACCTAAAAATGCATTGGTAATGGGAGAACTAAAATTCAAATCTAGGTTTCTAGTCTGTCCTTTCATTTTATCTCTCTATAATCTGTTTGGTCCCTTGAAAAGAAAGCTTCTGTGCAAATACTGCAAAATTCAGACAAACATATGCCTTTATTCTATATGGGAAAATATATCATTTTTAGAGAGTGTGTATTGCACTTGGTTTTATATCTACAGCAGATGGCCATAAAATTTTACTCTAGTCTTCCAGCATCTGGCATAAAACCTGCCATATAAAGACAGCCTTTGAGAAGATTGAAGGAATTAGCATGTAAGACAGTGAGCTGATAACTGTTTTGTTTTTGAGAGGGAAAGAAATGTGGTAAACATATGTGAATAAATATTTAAAGAATTAACATATTCAGTTTTTAATAAAATGCAACACAAATTTGCTTTCAGTTTTAAGCATTTAGCAAACTTTGTTCTTTGAGATTAAGTTTGTGTGAAGATAATTGATTAAAACCTCTCTCTAGGGTACCATGTCAAGACTGAAGATCAGGACTTGAGGCGTTCCTCTTGGATTAAACAATTTGATACAACTTCCAGATTTAATCTTCAGGTATATTCAAGCTTTGAAACATTAAAAGGAGATTTAGAATTGTCATTAACTCTCTTTTTGCTTTCCTTCTTTCTGGGAAGGTAAAAAATTACAATTAAATGCACATTTGAACAACTATCCATTTTTAGAGATTCTGATATAATGACCAATGCAAAGCTCATGGATATACCGTGATCTGGAAAAGAATAGCTTATTCCAGGAAGTAGTTAAAAAATACTGGCTGCCAGTACCTTTTGGTGTGTCTAGTTAGAATGAAACATGAAAGGAAAGGAAAGTACTAGAGGATCTCTATTTAATCTCTGAAATTGTTTCTTGTACATTTTTCATTTCTTTTTTTTTTTTATTGTATTTATTATTTATTTATTTACCTACTTACGTTAATCCTCGCGGAGGATATTTTTCCATTGATTTTTAGGGAGAGTAGAAGAGAGAGGGAAAGACCGAGAGAAACATCAGTGTGAGAGAAACACATTGATTGGTTGCCTCCTCCACGATCCCCAACCAGGGCCCGGGCTGGGGAGGAGCTTGCATCCAAGGTATATGCCCTTGACTGGAATCCAACCTGGGACCCTTTAGTCCACAAGCTGACGCTCTATCCCAACCATGTCAAACTTGCGGCCTGTGGGCCACAAGTTTGACATGCTTGCTATCCACTGGGCCAAATCGGCTAGGGCTTGAACATTTTTAGATGCTTAATTTCTTTGAGAATTTGATGAGAGTTATAGATTCTCTTTCCAGAAAATGATCATCATAAATGCTGACTTTTGCTTACATATTCTTATGATTTAGACCCCAGACCACTCATTGACTCCAAATTAAGAACGCTTGCTCTAAGAGAGGACACTTTATATATTTGGATCCCAGCATATTAATACTCATACCAAGCAAAATGAACCCCTTATAGCTTTTTAAAATTTCCTTTTTTTAAATAAAAATATTTTTATTGATTTTAGAGAGAGAGGAAGGGAGAGGGGGAGAGAAAGAAACATGGATGTGAGAGGGAAACACTGATTGGCTGCTTCCTGCATGCCTCCTACTGGGAATTGAGCCCGTAGAATCCAACCAGTGACCTTTAGATTCACGGGATGACACTCAGTCAACTGAACCACACTAGCCAGGGCCCAAAATAGCTTTTTTAAAAAGAAAAAATTTTACCAATAGTGCTAAGCAAGGAAAGTAATATGACTTTTTGCTGCAAATCTTAGAAAATGACAGCCAAAGAAAGAATCAAAATTTTCATGTGGCAGATTGGGGTCCCTAAACCTCCTAGACTCCAAGCATACTCGTGAGTAATAGAATTATGGGTATTTTTTATTTTCTTCGTTTGGCTTATCCATATTTTCTAAATACTCACCAACCGCTTTTACAATAAGAAAAGAAACCAATATGCCAGGTTATTTTTCAAGGCAGTTTTGTCTGTACAAGTTCTTTTAACAGTATCCTCCAGACTCAAAGATCAGGTAAGAAATCCCTTCACTGTTATCATTCACTTATTCAGTGTATGATTTTACAGTGCCTCACTATAGCTGGTCATGAAGTTTATAATTTCACTATAGGATTCAGTATTAAAAGTAAGCTATTATTTAAATCTAACTGTTGTTTTTATAGTTGTCTTTGAAAATGAAGATAGATGATTAGCATGATCATTTTGGAGACAATCATTTCTTTTGTTTATAATTGAGAGATATTTTAGAGGCATGTCAAATCATAGCAGTTGTCTCTTCATGCTCAAGCATATTTGTAAAATAATTTATTTTTATTTTTTTAAAAATATATTTTATTGATTTTTTACAGAGAGGAAGGGAGAGAGTTAGAAACATCGATGAGAGAGAAACATCGACCAGCTGCCTCCTGCACACCCCCTACTGGGGATGTGCCTGCAACCAAGGTACATGCCCTTGACCGGAATCAAACCTGGGACCTTTCAGTCTGCAGGCCGATGCTCTATCCACTGAGCCAAACCGGTTAGGGCTGTAAAATAATTTAAAGCAAGTCTGTGCTTACTGCTGTTTTTAAAACTTATTTAATCATTACAGAATTGGAGATATAAGAAAGTAAGATTAAAAAAGAGAATCAGAGATACATTTTATATCTCACACCCACATAATTAAAGCTAATTTTGTGAAACATCACATCTGCAGTGTGCTCTATCTTTTCAAGTTTGTCTTTTTCTTTCTCTGTTTAATTTTGGTCATGGCTCTCTCCATTGATTTCAAGACCCGTCAATCAGTAGCAGTGTTTGTTTTTTCCTTACAGTTCACTCAGTAATCTTAAGAGACTGAAGGAAAAATGGTTACAGAAAAAACAGACCTGAGACTTCAGGATCTAGGTTTGTTTTGTTTTTTAGTAACCAACTTAAATACAGTAGAGATGAACCCTATGGAAGTTACGTTCTAAAAAAGATAGTATATAACACAGTGAGAGATATATGGGAACTGTGCCATGCTGAGGAGGCAGTAGGACCACTTCTCCCATCTTGGCTTCCTTTCACAGCACATGCTCACTGAGTTCAGGATGGCTTGTTGAAATTACATTCATTCTCCCTCCCTCCCCTTTCCTCCTCCCCTCCGTCCTCCCTCTCAGTCTGTGCCTCTCTTTGTCTCTTTCTGTCTCCCTCTCCCTCTTCCTCTCCCCTACTCTCCCCCTCCCCCCATCCATATATAATGCTTGCTTCTTGGGTTAAGTTATGATGCAGCTTCAAGACTTGAATCCTTCAGAGCTTTTAGCTTTTGGAATGAATGGGCTATCATGAAGGGTAGTCTTTTGTGGCCACTACATGTTAAGAAAACCAAAGTTCAGTAGTCTAGTTTTTCTCTCTTGGCTTGGTAATGTATAGAGAGGTTGAAAACTTCACTTCTTTTAAAGGAACCTTAATAATTCAGCCTTATTTTCATTCTTTAGGATCCAAGTAGAGGCCATAAATATATCAAAAAGGAAGGTTCATCAGAAATCAGTCAAAAGGTACACAGTAGGAATTCTGTGGACAGCAGTGGCTCCAGCCCTCAGAATGGAAAGTACATGCAGAATTCAAGCTTGGTTTCAGGGGCATGCCAGATAAGTAATGGCAGTGTAAGCCCAGAAAGGCCAGTTGGTGAAACTTCCTTTTCAGTGCCCCTTCACCCCACCAAGAGACCTGCATCAAACCCACCACCGATCAGCAACCAGGCAACAAAAGGTAACTTTTGCACATTTGTAGGTTATGTATGTTTTTGACTGTGTAAGATGGTGAGAGTGGCAGTTCTGATAGAGGTAGTGTCTGTAGTCAAGTTGCTCACAGCCTGGTGCACTGTGGACACCACAGTGATAACAGTTTATACAGGTTACTGTGGGAATAGCGGGATACTGAGTCACCTCTGAGGATCAGGAGTGGCTTTTGGGCGGAGGAGGTAGATCCTGAAAAAGATGGTAAGGGGTTAGTTAGCCCTGCCGAGTTGGGGAAGTGACATGATAGCATTGAAGGAAAGGAGCTACTGTGACCCATGGTACAAAGGTGAGAAATAGCACTTCAGTCCATTTTGTTGCTGAACACAGTTTGTTGCAGAATATGGTAAGAGCTCATGCTGAAGAGATGGGTGGGGATCAGACTGTGTGAGGGCCACGCAAGTCCTGTGAAGAAGGTTGGCCTTTATCCCTCACGTGCAGAGATGACAGGGATTAAACAGTAGAATTCCAGGAGTGTGACTTTGCCCATTCAGAACACCTGGAAGACTTGCTTACCACAGAGCCCTCCCTTTAAATCTTCCAGGTCCTGGGTGCCAAGTATGATTTGCATCGTTATTTACACTGCTATTGGTGTTTTATAGGTAAACGTCCAAAAAAAGGAATGGCAACAGCCAAACAACGCCTTGGGAAGATCCTTAAGTTGAACAGAAATGGCCATGCACGTTTCTTTGTGTGATGGAGCTGCTGTTGGGATCACTCTTCCCTTTGGAGACCAGTCTCGGGGGTGTGGGAGCCTGGAGCTTCCGCCATGCATGTCCAGTAGAGAACACTGCCTGGAGAACAAAATGAACCTGATGCTGCATTTTCACTGTGCCACACCCACTCAGCAATAACCATTTTGGACCTGGTGGGGGAGAGGAAGAAGGAGGGTAGAACCTTAAAAGGAGACCTTGAACTGAAAAGGGTCTCTTGTCAGGGCTTGAATTTCATTTTGTTGTTGGTAGTGTCTTGATTTATTTTCAGTGGTAAAGAATTATCAATAATTTATTTAACAGATTTTTTTAAAAGTTAACAGCTTTTAAATTCTTTTTTAAAGCTATTTATTTGGAAGATTTCTGGAGAAATATCTCACTAATTTAGATTTAAGAATGTGAAGGTTTTTAAATTATTTTTGATAGTGTGTGTGTTACATGTGGGGAAGAGCCACAGTAACAGTAACTAGTCTGGACTCTTAAATTTGATATTCAGGTTAAAGTCTTAAACAGGGATTTGATGCATTAATTATTTTAAATTAAGATGTATATGGAAATCATTTTATTTTATATATTTCATGTTTTTTATAAGCTATTAGCTTCGCTTTTGCTAACATCCAAGGTGCATACTGTTATCCAGGTTGATGACCTTATATCCCACCTTCCCCCTCTGCACTCCCAGCTTTTGTGATGATACAAGACTCTTCTCTTTGCAGGGAAACACTTTCATAGCCGATGTGTTAGACCTACATTATAAAAGACCCCAACATTTCTCATTTCGTTTGACATTGCAATTTTTTCCTAAATATAACAAAGGCTTCTTGCATTTTCATTTTTGCTGATGACCTGGGTTCCAAAGAGAACAGCTTTAATATCTTTTTCCTATTTGTGGAAAAAGTATTAAGTTTGATTAAATTGTCATATTTCTAGTTTTTCAAATGCGTTTGTAACTACAGAGGGCCTTCTTCATACTGCTGGTATTAGAGGGCAGGACCAACACCTGCCACAAAGGTTATATTTTATGACGCTTTTATTCTGTGTACCTAATTTGTTGGGAAATAAGATTTGACTTAGTTGTTCAACTCTGCATAATAAGCCGTAATATAATAGGACTATACTATATTAATTGTGTAGAAGCAAGCATGTTGGAGTAGACCTTTTGCAGGTGTGTGTGTGTGTGTGTGTGTGTGTGTGTGTTTAGTTTTTTATTTCTTAACCTTCTAAAGAATTATTTAAGACATGGATTTGAAGTAAAATGGGTGCTTCTTGTAGTTTCTTCCATCTATCCTAACTTAGCCAGTGCATATTGAGGTTAAGTATCTGATTGAGCTTTAAAGTAATCATATATCTCTTTTATGCACAATTTTTACTAAATGCCAGCTAATAATAGCTAATATTTCCCCCTACCCCCCATGACTTAGAAATAAGTAATTTCAAGGCTGGGGTGATGTGGGGTGGAGATATTTCCAATGCTGACAGGAGAGCATTATACAACTTCCTACAAAGAAAATATAGGCAAATAAGATCAAATTTATTTTTATGAAGAAGAAATATGGCCATATTATGGATATCCTTTTATTTACTGAGCCAAGGTAGCAGAACTTTCCCTTCTATATTTAGTATCATGTGCAGTGCTAAGAAAAAGAAATCCATACCATCCTCCTCCATGGTTGCATTCAAATGTGTATTTTCAAAGAGAGAGATTTCTTACTCTGTCTTCATTCCAGTATTTCATGGAATAAATATGAAGTAACTTATGAATTAGCCTTTTTGGCCCAAGTGACTGAATCAAGTCTGGATCTTACCTGGTGTCAGGAAGGATTTTGTGGAAATACTAAATGCCTATAAGTGGCCTACTTAAATTCTGCACGATGCCAAAACTAGTTAAGAGATGGGCATGGTTAGTCATTTGATGGATGATTCGATTTGAAAAATGTAAAAATTTGGGTTTGACTGATTGTGCCACCTTCCCACACAGTATATTACTGTGATGTTTTGGTTTTTTTTTTTTTCAGTTACATCATGATCTGGGTTCTTTTTTTATGTTCTTCTCACAGCTCTAAGTGTTTTTAATTACCTGAATTTTTTTCTTTAACTATAAAAATTAAAATAAAACAATTTCTTTTTATGAGTTAAAATTGTGGCCAGTATCCACCCTGTGTACCTAGGCCGGTAAATACTTATTTTAAGTAGACAGTATGTGGAACTTCTAAGTGAAGGTACTGTGGATTCATTTTTGGCAATTTAGCCCATTAACTGGCTAAGTTAAAAAAAAAAAAAACTTTCAGCAGGGTCATAAATATAACCACTACTCAGAACACATGTATCTTCTTCTGAATTGGTGCAGATTCAGCCACTGGTCCAGGAACTTTCCTAGTCTTACAGAGTTACTGGTTCTGATGCATCCCCTGTAGCTCGGAAATGACTGAACCTTGAGGTAACTGCAGCCAGTATCTGGACTTAACTGTAACAGACAACCTTGTGTTTTCCCCTTGGTCTCATAAACAATACTACTGCACAGATACTATGACTTACGAAGACAGCAGTGGTGGCATTTAGCTAGTTATAAGCAAATAGAAATATGTAAAGCAGAATTATGATTAAATGTATGCATTTTTAATTATAGTAGATAATTTTCCTGTATTGATTCAAGTAAGTAACTTCTGTTAACCTAGTATCCACTGTACTGTAATTCATAATGTCATATAATATAATGCTCTCCAGTATTGATTAATGTTGTAAACAGTACAAAGCTGGCATTTATGATAGTTTTGTATCCTAGAAATACATTGAACTTCATAAGCATCAGTTAATTTTTAAAGCATACAAAATTGAAAATTCTGACTGAAATCATCTTATAAACTCAGAAAACAAGGCCATCTTTATTACTACTTAAATACTTAGCTTGAATACTGTTCTGTTTTTTTAATAATCCCAGTTATTGCCTTTTAAATGAACTCTACTGTATTTATTCTTATGAGATCAGCAGGTATTTATCAGACACCTACTATGTGCCCAGCACTACATAGTACTGTGGGGAAGTGTAAAGTTGAAATGTGGTCTCTGCCTTTGAAGGTATCTTCGTCAGGAAATAAGCAGTGTTATTTTTACTTCTAAGCAAACATAAGCAAAAGAGAGCCCATTTATTTAAAAAAGCATTAACTTCATTTGTTTCAATTGAGATATACTATGCTATATAGACGTGGAAGTAATTTTTTTTAATTTTTAAAATGTAAAAAACATTTCAGAAATTAACAATTTAATGTTGGCAGTAGAGGGTCATGGTTTAGTATGAAAGAGAGCAGACAACTTGGATTTTTGCCCAGGTTCTGCCATTTTTATGTCAGCTCTGTGACCTTGAATAAGTTGCTTATTCTTACTACATCTTAGTTTTCTCATTTGTTAGTTTGGATAAAAATGCAGTTAACAAATACATGGAAAAGTGTTTCTTAATCTAGTAACACTTCATGCTTGCAGTTAATTTATCATTATTTAAGTTGCCACTGATAATGAATGCACATTTTTATGCATTTTAAATTTAAACTGTTATTACTCATAAAATTTGTTTTATGTCAAATCTATGCCCAGAGCATGCTACCTAAAAAACCTGAAGAGTCTCTAACAAGGTGCTGAATTACAATTAAAATTAGTGCTTGAAGTGAAAGAAAAGTGAAATAGTTTATGGATAAGAGTGATACTGTTTATCCTCAAGTAAGTAATGTTTATCCTCAAGTAATCATTAAGATGACTTAAGGAAAGATTCTTTCTGCTTGTTTCAAGAGATGCTTTCTATAGTAACTCCCCCAAGAGCTCCTGAATCACCGTGCCACCCGGTACACCACTGCCAGAAGTAACTATTGCAGTGTATCAGCATTTTACAATTTCACATGGAGATGAAGGCTTAATAATGTCAATCTGAAAATTTTTCAAAAATTCATTTTTTTCTCATTAAATATTAAGCCAGTTGCTCCCTCCAAAAAGAAAAGCTAAAGATCACCAGTTGTTTCTGGATGCCCTAGACCTTTATCTAAAGCAATCTCGAGAAGGTTGAGCATCAGGTCATTAGGAAAAACGTGTTACTGGTAACTAAAGAAGACAAATGGAACCCTAATAGGGCAGTGATTTGCCTGGGGTCACAGTAGATTCTAGACCTCTGGTACCTTGCTTCCTACCACAGCTCTTCTCTGTGATGCTGTGCAGCCTCTGCTTGTCCTGGGGGTGATGTTGATATGCTTGCTAGAAGCCAGATGGAAAGAAAGGAGAAGTAATATACTCATTACATTGCTGTTGGACTAAAGTAATTTTGATACTATAGCCTTACTAAAAACCCTGCTCTTATTTTTATTTGTTCTTCAGTGAAAATCATGACATAAAAGTCAAATCTTTTATATCCCTTACATTAAATTTTTAAAAATTAAGGTCGTTAAGAAGCAAATGCCTATTTCCAAAGCAATTAGCTTATCATATTTGACTGTGGTTTTACTCTTTTATACTATTTTTCTCCTCTTTAGTGGGTAGGGAAAATAATGCTCATTTACCTGCATTCTACCCCGTAGAGTCTCCCTCTCACCCATGGTGCCCTCTCTAGTGTCCTAAAGCTTTGTCTTAACAAGTGCAACATTAAATTTTTGTTAAAACCCTTTCAAAACTATATTCAGTGATTCTTCCAACAAGTTGATCTGTTCTGCACTATTTCACTAATAAACCCTGGCTACCACGTAGCCCTTGACCTCCAAGTAGCTTACCTATGCAAGACCTGTGACATTCTGAACTCACGTTTCCTTATTTCAGAAAGCAGTCCTAAGTGGAACTTAATCATAACAATAATCCTTGCCTCCACCTACTTTTATTTTGGCCATTTCCTTTTTAAAATGCCAGCTATTTTCCCCCAAGGTATTTCACCAAAACAGTGATCATAAGTGCTGGAATATATAATATCTTGCAGGAATGAAATAACCCAGACATACTCTTATATTCCTGTGGTAGTTGGTTGGTAACAGTTACCATTATTAAGTGGAATATATAGTGAGGAATTCATTCATTAATTCCTTGCCTAGAATCATTTCTTCCCTCAAAGATTCATACGTAACCTTTTATTTTTACAAAGCATACATATAACTTCCACATTATAGTCAGGGACCTGAGGTGTCACTTGCTAAGTGAACCCCAGGTTATTTTATATTGCAAAAGAAACCTAAACCAAACTAAGGGCCTTACATTTATGGTTAGACTGAATCAAAAGCTATAACCTCAGTTTTTCCCAAAATAGCTTCTGACTGCAAACGCGTCATGCAGTTGTTAGGTATGAAATAGCACTGATCAGGAAATGCATGTGCAACTTCGCAGACTGTATTTCCTTCCGAAAAGACTTTTCTACTTTTAATATAAATTAAGCCATAATAGTTACATGCTGTGGAAAGAGGGTGAAAGGTTCATTTGAAGAGATTATATAATATGAATTTTCACATTTACTGTGAAATGTCTAACTTTTCCAGTGCTTCAGCAGGTTTGTTTGTTTTTTTGAGGGGGTAGAGGGAGGTGATAGGGTGGGGTAGTATTGATTTTAGAGATTTCAAATCTGTGAAATTTGAAAAGGGGACAGTTGTTGGCTATGGTATTTATTAGTTTTGTAGTAATGTTTTGCTAGCCTGACTGACTTTCCTTAACTGATTTTTATGCCCATGGTCCAAGGAGACTGGTACCCTTTCTTGTTTGGGGTGTCTGCGGAGTAGTGTCTTGTCTGTTTGTATAGGCAGTCAGTGTGTGTGCACATGTGTGTCCTTTGAATACAGAAGCACACTGTGTGACTACAGAGTGGGGTGTGGCTGGGAAACGGGATGCTGAAGCTTTAAAGAGCATTTTCTTTTTTGACTCTTAACAGTATTTCCCATCTTTTGCCTGCAGGCAGGGAAAGTGTACAGTATTTATTTTGCTTCTGTTTTAAATTTGTAAGTCTTTAAATAGTTTAATTGGTTATTAGAGGGGAGGACAAGTGACTTGTTTAAAGTTGTATTTGGTATTCTTACTTTTCAATTTCTGTATTTTAAAATATTGAAATCAAAATTGTATTACTTCTGTTTTGATTTTTTTAGTGCTGGGTGTATTTTTGGCTCATTTTGTTTGAAAGTATAAATGTTGAAAATTGTATAAAATGTGTCTTTGAAAGAAAAAAAATTGAATTCTATATCCAATTCTGATTTTCTGTTCTTTTTTTCTGCTTATTGATTCATGGGAGAATTATTGGAGTATGTGAAAAACTGTATCAAACTTAGGCTCCTTAATATTTCTGAAGATTCAAATGTGCAGAGTAATGTGTCATATTATTTTATTAGATGTATTGCTGGGGAAGCAATTAGTGAAAGAGAGGAAAGAAGACAAAAGGGTAATTAGTTGGCAAGATGAGGCTACGCTATGGCCATGGATGCTGGTGCTACTGGGGGACACTTAAAAGCATTTGTTGTCCCCAACCTGGGCACCCCAAAATACTTCTTGAGCACCTGCAGTATACCAGGCATTGTCTAGCACTGAAGCTACAGGAGTAAGATCAAGCCCCAGGCCTGCAGGAGCCTGTGATAGATGTGAAAGGAGGGGAGATCGAGGGTGCTGTGACCTGGCTGCCTAGGGGGGTGGGAGTGGAAGTGTGAGTTCAGTGAGATGAGTTCATCGTGGACATAGTGCTTTTAAGGGTGTGAGAGCCAGGTCTGGGATGAGCTGAGCTTAACTTGGGCCCAGGAGAGGAGCCAGGGACCAAGGAGGAAGGAGCACGGCGGTGGGGAGGCGGGGGCAGCACTTCAGGGCAGAAGAAGAGCCTGGGAGGGGCAGGAAATGGTAGGAGGATCTGCTCTGGAGGAGCCCGAATGCAGATTGATGGAAACCAAGGCACTGAAGGACCCACGGCCTCGGCTCTTCCTGTACTAATACCTGCAAGAGAGTAGGTGGTCCAGAGTGCACCCACTTAAAGGCACCTCAACAGCTGTTACAAGAATGGTGCCCAAAGCACGTTCACACCTCCTCTATCTTACTGGCCTGTTTATTCCAGCGGATTGAAAACTAAGTCTGAATAAATCTGTTCTTTTGTAAAAGTCCACATGCCATCTGTGAACCTGTGGAATGTTTGCCCTTCCTCTAGTTTGCATGTTAGCAACTAATTATCAGGACCGACACTCCTTTGATCTTTAGCTGACCTTTGTGTTTCCACGACCCAGTGAGACTGTGGAAAGTGGGGTGTTACCCACCCCTCATTTTAGAGTGGGAAGAATTGGGTGCTATGTTGCAGACAGGCTTTTGAATAGAAACCCTCATTGTCTTTATTTTCCATTTGAGTACTTGCAGTGTACAAGGCATATTTTCATTTCTTCCTCACAGCCCAACGAGGTAGGTGCTATACTCCCCATCCTGCAGATGAAACTGAGGCCAGAGATAGTAACTGACACGTGCAAGTTCACACTAATAAAAAGTAGAACTGAGATTTTAATCAAAAGCCTAACTCTAAAGGCCACATCATTTTTTATGAATTGTTTTTCTCTAATTATTTTTAAAATTTATTTTCCTTTATTTTTCCTCATCACCTTTTTTTTTTTTTAATGTATTTTATTGATTTTTTACAGAGAGGAAGGGAGAGAGATAGAGAGCTAGAAACATCGATGAGAGAGAAACATCGATCAGCTGCCTCCTGCACATCTCCCACTGGGGATGTGCCCGCAACCCAGGTACATGCCCTTGACCGGAATCGAACCCGGGACCCTTCAGTCCGCAGGCTGATGCTCTATCCACTGAGCCAAACCGGTTTTGGCTCCTCATCACCTTTTATCCACCCCCCCATACACTCTTCCACCTCCACTGCCACCCCAATCACCACACTGTTGTCCATGTCTGTAAGTTCTTTTTTCTTTTTTACTCAATCTCCCCCCAACATCCCTCTTTCCACCAGAGCTGTCTGCCTGCTCTCTCTGAGTCTAATTGTGTTTTACTTTCAGTTATTAAAAAGGAATAGATGGTCTTTAGGAATGATTTGTATTCTAAAAGTTTACTTATAGGCAACCATTTTGGACTGAAAATAATCTTTTTACAGAAGTTTTCTATCATTCAAAGTTTGAGTCTGTCCTTTTCCTAGGGGCTGGGTACAGATGAAAGCATGCTGTTTATCTTCTAGGATCCCACCGTCTAGTGAAGAATGAACTGTACGCAAGGGACAGATGATACTGTTAGAATCTATGAACCTAACATGAATTCCCAAAGTCCCAGAGTTAGGCCGTGCCTAGTGCACCCCTTCCACTGGACATGGCCCTGCAGGACGGCACAGCCGTCTACCACTGCCCTTCCCACACTGCAACCTCTCCGGGCATCATTTCCTGCCCCTCAGCTCTGATAAAAGGGTCAGCCCAGATAAGGAAGGAGAAAGAAGTCCATCCATATTTCTCTTTCTATATCTCTATATATCTCCCCAACTGCTCAGGAGGTCACTTAGGGCACAGCCTTCAATAGTCTACAATAACCACAGCAGTGATTCTCCCAAAGTCTGACTTAAGAATAAAAGTTGAGAATAAAAAAGTCAATTACCATATTGGAGGTTTTGCCAATGGGAGGCAAAGCTGTGCTTATTCTCTGGTCTGGGGGCTAACTACTGGTGTTAGTTTGCTAGGGCTACTATAACAAAGTACCACAGACTGCGTGGCTTAAACAGCAGATTTGTTTTTTCATCCCTCTCGAGGTTAGAGGTTGGAGACTAAGGTGTTAGCAGGGTGGGGGCAAAAAAGAAGGATCCATTCCAAGCCTCTCCTCAACTTGCAGATGGCCATCATATCCGTGTCTCTCACATCGTCTTCCCTCTCAGTACGTGTCTGTGTCTGTGTCCAAATTTACCCCTTTTGTAAAGACACCAGCCATACTGTATTCAGGCCCACCCTAATTACCCCCCCCCTTTTTTTAATTAATCCTTACCCGAGGATATTTTTTCCATTGATTTTTAGAGAGAGTGAAAGGGGGGGGGGAGGGGGAGACAGAAAGAGAGAAACATCAATGTGAGAGACACATAGATTGGTTGCCTCCCGAATTTGCCCAGACTTGAGCCAGGAATCGAACCAGAGACCCTTCCATGTTTGTGCTGACGTTCTAACCACCTGACCACACTGGCCAAGGCATAAACTCATTTTAATTTAATTATCTCTTAAAAGACCCTATACCCCAAAATGTTTATATTCTGAGCTATTGGAGGTTAGGACTTCCAACATATGAACTTTGAGGGGAGACACAATTCAATCCATAACACTACTGGATCAACTCATACATACACAAATAATAACTCCCAGTGAGTCAAGTTTATAAATCCATGTTTATTTTTTTTAAAATCCTTACCCGAGGAGTGAGGATATTTTTTCCATTGATTTTTTTAGAGAGAGTGGAAGAAAGGGGGGAGGGGGAAAAAGAGAGAGGAGGGAAACATTGATGTGAGAGAGATCAATTGGTTGCCTCCTGTACACGCCCCAAATGAGGGCAAGAACCGGACCTACAGCCAAGGTATGTGCCAGGAATCGAATCTGTGACCCTCTGGTGCATAGGCCAACACTCTAACCACTAAGCCATGCTGGCCAGGGCAAGTTTATAAATCCATGTTTAAAAAAAGAGAAACATTTTTCTTATTACCACATTATCCCCTGACCAGATCAGTGGTGACCACTGCATAAGAAATATGCCCCTTTACAGCATCATTGGCCTGCTTATGATCCTTAAAATGATCCTTTTACCTTGGGCCAGATGAAGCCTTGGGGAAGGACTTCTAGCCCTACCCATGTCCAGAGCAAATCCCCAGGGATCAATACAGTTCCATGTGGGTAGTGGGATTATGGGTGACACTTGCTGTATTTATTCCTTTCTCAAATATTTATTGAATATTACGTACTGGCTGGGCTCTGGGTAAGTCAATGGGAACAGGACAGGGTCCCCTCTGTCAGAGCAGGGGTGACAGTCTAGGAAAAAGCACTGTGCTAGCCTTGAGGCAGCACTGAAGCCTGGTCTGGGATCCCATGCTGTCCCGTGCCTGATGTCCAACCCTGCAGCAGTGCAGACTTCCTTCTATCTCTGGGGATTATCTCTGCCCAGCAGTGATGCTCCTGCGTCCTGAGCCGAACGTGTCGTGGACACTGCTCTGCCCAGGTGCTTTTGGATCCTTTTTGCCCAACTGCAAGCTTTGGAGCCACTTTGCCCAGGTGCAACAGGTACAGAGAGCCAGAAGGGCCCGGGGTTTTCTTTCCGCCCCTGCTCCCCCTCAGGCCTTAGCCAATGCCTGATGGATGGTGGTACAGGGAAATGATAGCCCAGAGGGACACACTCTGGGCAGTATTTATAATCCACCCTGCCTATGCTCAGATTCCATATTTGCAAATTTGCCTATGCACTAAAATTTACTTGTAACCCCAAATCACTGTGTGGTACTTTCATGGTCATTCCAGGACACACACATTGTGAGGTGACACTGTACTCTTATTTCAGCTCTTCAGGTACCATGTGTACCGGTTAATAATGTAGATTTTGTAATCAAAATACGTTAATTTCAACAGAAACATCAAAAGTACTTTATTCAAAGTAATGTCCATCGCTAGTTACACATTTCCTCCATCTTTCAGGTAATTTGTGGATACCATCCCAATAGAATTTTTCTTGTTTTGAAGCAAACCATTCAGAGACCCAATTTTCCACTTCTTCGTATGTTTTGAAGTGCTGCTCAGAAAGTGTGTGTGCCATCGATCAGAACAAGTGGTAATCTGAAGGAGCAAGGTCTGGTGAATACGGTGGGTGGGTTAATACTTCCCAGGCAAGATCTTTTAACGTGTCTTTAACTGGTTTTGAAGTATGTGATGACGCGTTATCATGAAGCAAAATTACTTTGCCGAGTCTTCTGGCCCATTCTGGTCGTTTTACGATCAAAGTGTGGTTCAAATTGATTGTTTGTTGTCGGTAACCATCAGTATTAACGGTTTCACTTGGTTTTAGAAGCTCATAATACACCACACCTTCCAGAGCCCACCAAACGCAAAGCATTGTCTTCTTTCCAAAGCGATTTGGCCTTGCAGTCAATGTTGATGGTTGACCTGGATCAACCCATGATTTTGTGCGTTTGGGATTCTCAAAATAAATCCACTTTTCATCGCCAGTCACAATTCAATGCACAGAAGACTTTCTTTTGTGCTGTTGA